TTTTAAAAGGGGCCATAATAGTGTAAATAATGTTTGTTTTGGCAGTTACAACTGAATGTAATGTTTTCTACTTTTTTACAGATGGAAAGTGTCTTGACCAACAACTTAAGTATTTCTTATAGCTATGCAGGGCATGCAAGCGAGCAAATACAAGCAAGAACAAATAAAGTGAAATGAAGAATACAATTGAAATTGTACAATATAATGTGGTGGTTCATCTTATAATTCAGTCTAGAGAATAGACCAGACAGCATCTAAGACCTGCAAAAATCTAAATGTTCTAGGGGGAGGCCCCCCAAACCCTTCGTGCCATTTCGTCCACGCACATTTTTCAGGGCCATCTCTATTGGGCTCAGGGCCATCTGTAAATTAGCTTAGATGGCCCACAGGGCCATCTCCCCAAATCCTTAATGTCATGCACTGAGCAGGATCTACAGTTTCCAGTATTTTCCGTTTCGTAAAATGATAAAATACGGCGAAGATACTCAAATATGTGCTTCCTTTTTTCATACTTTTGAAATGTATTAACTTTATATCATCGTATCTCCGTGTTTACTGGGTCTTTTTGCATGAAACAAAGACTGGGATATAGTTTCAAGCCAGTACTTTCGACAGAAACACACGGCAATGTTGTCCGGACTGTTGTTTTTATGCGGCACCGGCTTGAACAGGTCATGTGATCTGATCACGCCGGTGTGACGGTCGACTCCAAAGGGTTTATCCCAGTTTTCTTAATTATATGAACAAAATCATCCTTTCCCCGGCCTTGTCAATGTGATTTCATCCTTCTGAGGGATGCTTACATACCAACAGGTTACACTGATGGTTGGATGTCATTTGTCAGTTTTCTTTTTCACTGCCGTCTGCATCCCACTTTTTCTTGCTATTTAAATCAATGAGGAGCAAACTAGCCTACATGTTTCAGGCGTTGATATCTTAGATTTTATTCTCCATATTTTATTGATTATGTTGGTTTATGTTAATAAGCGCATTTGCTAGGAAACAAGACAAAACAGTAAAAAAAACAGCCTGGGAGAGGAGATATTGATTCTGGTGGCGCAGGTCCAACAGACAGTAAGAAGAGCTCTTTATGACGAGGAAGAAGAAAGTGTCACAGTCAACTTGAATACCTTTCATTATCAGGTGGATAACAAATACAGCAGCTCAGAGCTAAGCCTTTGGTCCATCCAAGGATTAATTATTGGTTTAGCAGCCAGTGGACATATAATATTGCAAGAGTCTATTAAAATACAGATTTTCTAGTGAATGCTTCAGTCTGCATGTATCAACAGTCAGACTATAATGATCTTGACAAAGTATAAAGCATTGCAAACTCTGGGAATATGATCATACGATAGCAGCAGACTAAAGAAGCATAGGACCAACTTGAAACTTCTCAGCATATATAATTATAACTAAAAAACGAGCTTAAATACCCGGTACTTGTAGCCTGCCTTTATACTTTAAAGTATACAGTATATTCTTGTTCAAACACACAATGTAAAATAATTAGAAGATGTGAATTCTGTTTGTCATATTTTGGAAGGTGTAGCAGGCAAAGCAGAATTGTTTTGTGTTGTTGGTTCTGTGTTGTCTACACAATATAAACATTGCATTGTTTGAATATAATGTATGTCTCAACACTTAGCCCTACAAGTTCTCTTAAAATTTGCATCTGTCAAAATACATTAGATACTTCAGTGTGAGTTTAACACTAACGTTTTCTACAAGTTATTGTTAATGCAGTTATTTCAGAAGGTCCTTCATAATACTTATTGCAGAGCCTCTGTATCCCCCACCAAAGTGGTTCCAGTGATTCAGATAGTGGAAGAGTTGGTAAAGCTGGTTTCTCTTTGCAAAACCTGGAGCTTTAGGAATCTTTTCATGGTAAGCAGAGTAAAAAGAGCTGTCAAAGCCACCAAACATCCCGGCAATACCCAGCTCATATTCTGAATGACCATAGAAGGAGGCTGGGTCAAAGATGACTGGGCCTTCTGCACACTGTGCTACGTTGCCTCCCCATAAGTCTCCATGGAGGAGAGCAGGGACAATCTCCACATCTGTGAAAAACTGAGGGATCTTCAGCTGTAAATAACAGACACAATATGTAAGTTGCACTGTCAAATCATTGATACAAACATAGAGACATGCATACAATATATTTTGTTCTTGATGGGGTCAAAGTGGAGGTGCACCTGTAGCTTGGCCCATAGTTCACTGGCCTGTCTGTCTCCATAGGATTTCTCCACCATGTTAAGCTGGTGCTGCAGCCTTTGCTGGGAGTAAAATATCACCCAGTCATCCTGCCACTCATTTTCCTGTAGACATAAGGGGAAACAATAAATGCAGTAACACTTAAACACCACATAAATGTACTACACATAGATATTAGAGATTACAAGACAATTGCGTTTTGACAGATTTGTATTTTTTACCTGCGGTAGATATCCACAGCATGTAGGTAAACTGAAGCCAAATGTGTCAACCACAGCAACCTCCATTTGTCCAGCTCCTTTTCCTGTGTACAGTAAAATACATTATACAATCATCCGCAATAAAATAGCATCATATTTTGAGAAGCAACTGTTATTCAGTGTAGTAATGAAAAAAGGATGATTTTACTGTGCATGTGTATTTTTTTGAATGTATGAAGGTGATGTTAAGTTGAATTACCCACTGTCTGCCGCTCTTTATTTAATTTGTCCAACTGTCTCTTGTTGTGAACATGCAGATTTGCCAGCTGCTCGCCTAGGTGGTTTGAGTACCTAAACATTGGGTTTGGAAATAAGTAAAGTATTGTTTGAAAAAAAAAATACTTTTACAGCTATATTTTCATGATGATCTAGCTTTTTGGCAAGATATGTCAGAAATGTCTGTGTGCAAAGACAATGTACACACAGTTTGGATGGACTTAATGATGCGTTGAACTGATGAACTATTGCTGTATCTTTGGTTCCATATAAATATGGCTACTGTTCAACAGTGTGAATGGGAAAGGAGATATATTAGTGATATCATGGCAGGATGCTATGTTTATTAAGTACTATAACACTTGTTAAACCAAATAATACTGTATATCTTACCTAGAGTTAGTATTTTTATACTGGTCCCCTTTACCAATTAAATGCCACAGATACACATTTTCATTTTGCCCTCTATTTTACTGATAAAGTACCAAACACATTGTCGGAGGTAGCTCTTACTTGGTGAGACCTCTCATGTCCAGATGTTCCATCACAAATGCACATCCTCCTGTGTCAAGCTCAATCACCTTCACAGGCTTGGGGACTTTAACAGTTTCTGTCTTTAAAATGGCTTCCAAACTGGCCATCTCCCCATCGAACATCAATTTGGCCTAAATAGAAAATGAGTTTAGGCTGGTGACAAGTCCAGTAGCACAGATCTAAACACTATTTAGCATGATAAATAATTATTGTAATCTTAATAATTTCACAATGTGTGCATAAAGTTTAGTGGCAATCGTTCTAGCTAGCTATAAGAGGGTCTATCTACTGAGAACTTATTTGGCCAGACACCAACTGAATACAAGTCAGTATATTTAATTCAAATATAAAACAATGATAATCACATACCTCTTTCTTGTGATTGATCTTCACAAACACTCTCCCATTGTCAGTATCATAACTCTGGCCCTCACTGATACATCCACCTCCCGAGTGACCCGTTGACTTCAGCATGGCTGTCCCCAGCTCTTTCTTTAATTTAGCTTCCATGGTTATTATTGCCACCAATTTGACAGAATAAAGTGTTGCTAATGCTAACAACAAACTGCACTTGCAGGGCCCGAAGTTAGGGGGGCGTTTTGACCAGGTTTTTGACAGCTTCCGGGGACGGTGATCTTTTTTCTTCCGTTATGTGTGGAATGGTCACCAATCAGAAAAACAGACAGAAGTGACTCATTCATATTTCGTCCTATCACAGCATCGAATGACGGCCACGTGAGCGTTGCCTTGGTGGCAAGTGAAGCTATAACGACTACATGCTAGCATTAGCTTCGGTATGCTCCTGAACAAAAATGAACAGCAATGACATTTGTCTGCTTCTTGGAGCAACTGGCGTCGGGAAAACGTTGTTGCTGAAACGTCTACAAAATATCCTTTGTGCACAGTAGAATGTTTTGAACTACATTTGAGAAAAGGTGGAATATAACAATTAAAGTTAACTGGTTTATCTAGCTAACGTAGGCTAATTTAGCCTGATGAGCTAGTGTAACGTTAGTAATTCCAATTAACTGTTAACTAGGCAAGTTACAGAGTAAGTAATCCATAAACTGTATACAAGCGTTTTGTAGATAATTATTGGATGTGGCCTAATATCTAATCTTGCACCGGAAAAGTACACATTTAGTTGCAAAACAATATATGTAGACTGGATTTGAGCAAATACATTCCACGATACTGTCACACTGTATTTAAATAACATGCACATGTATCAAAACGATTAGTACAAACTGTCCCTTTTATAACTGATCAAACATGTCGTATGATATATCATAAACTGTTTAAATATGATATTGAAATAAGTTGCTTTCTCTAAAGCTGATGGTTATCACCAGTGGATATCTTCCATGACATATTTAGTTTACAGCTCAGTTTGCATGGATTGGAGGAACTGGGCGAAACTCCTTCTACCCTGCCTACAGTAAGTGTTATTGAAAGGTAGCTTTAATATATTCGCAGTTTTTATGAGACAAAGCCATCAATGTAATGCCCTCGTTTTTTTGTAACCTCCACAGGTAGGAACCAACCTGACAGACCTGAAACTGAAAAAGAAGAAGGTGACATTGAGAGAGCTGGGAGGCTGCATGGGTCCTATATGGCCGAGTTACTTCAAAGACTGCTCATCTGTAATTGTATGTTATTTTTACTGTGTTAATTTGCAACAGTTGACAAAAGACTGGTCGCATTATTTGTTTGTTTTTTTGGCTTTCTCATAGTTCATGGTGGACTCAGCCAACATTGCTCAGATATCCGCCTCCTGTATCCAGCTGCTGTCAGTTCTCTCTGCTGAGCATTTGCACAATGCCTCTGTGCTTATTCTATTCAACAAGAGGTGACATTCACACACACATAGTTCACTAAATGTACTTGCCATAGCTGTAAATGGTCAGTATCAGCAGAAGGAACAGAATATGTATCCATTATCTTAATTCCATCTCTTGGTGAGATTTGTTTGTGCCATTGTGTATTTTCTCATTTTATTTGTTATTTTTCCCCTTGTCCAGGGACATGCCCTGCACTATGAGTCTCGTGGAGATAAAGTCGCTGTTCAGAATGGATGACATCATTGCATCTGCTACTCAGCCGATCACAACACAGGAACTCAGTGCCCGCTCTGGACAGGGACTTCAGGAGGTGCTGAGCTGGCTGGAGTCCATCATAGTCAAGTGAAATATCATATGTTTTTTCCTTATGAAAATATGCTCCTCCTACAAGACTTGATCTAGCCTCTTGGCAAGATATGTCTGAAATGTCTGTGTGCAAAGACAATGTACACACAGTTTGGATGGACTTAATGATGTGTTAAACTGATGAACTGGTGCTGTATCTTTGGTTCCATATACATATGGCTACTATTCAACAGTGTGAATGGGAAAGGAAATATATTAGTGATATTATGGCAGGATTTTGTGATTATTAAGTACCATAACTCTTGTTAAACCAAATAATACTGTAGATCTTAACAACAGTTAGTAGTTTTTATACTGTCACCTTTACCAATTAAATGCCACAGATACGCTGCTGGAATGTATGACTAACTGCAGTTCGATTCTCATGTCTAAGTAAAGACTTGTTTTATATTAAAACAAAATAGTCTGATTTCTGTAAGTGATGCAGCATGGTGGCAATGAGTCACTACCAGCAGGGGGCATAAAGTTAACAAATACTGTAAGCCTTAGATTTCATAATTTCATTATAATGCAATGATATCACAGAAAAATTAGAACATACAAAATAATAAAACCAACTAAAGAATGACGCAGTGTTGCAATTACACTCTTATATTTGATGATTCAGTGGATCACAAGCAATTAATTAAACTCTTAATTATTACATTTTCTCATGTTTCCTTACTTATTGTTAATTTTGAAGCACTTCCAGTCCTCCAAAACTATAATTTCATTCAGTTAAGCCCAGCAATTAATTTCACTTGAGTATAATAATGTACACACTGATGTTTTCATCAGTTCTGACGCCAACAGAAATCCACAATCCATACAACTCTTGTCTCTTCACAGGAATAAAACAAATCTATGTGCCTATGACGGCAGAAGTAGTGAGCAGAAGACTTGTTGCCTTCTTCTAAAGCCATAGTCAATTTGCCTGGTAATTGTGGCTAAGTGAACAATTAACAAACTGAGCTTTTGTGTATGTTTTGTCTAAATTGAATTTGCAAAAGGTAGAAGGTTAACATGACACTAATTGTTTCTAATAAAAAAGGTGTTATCAATTGTATATACCCTACTAATGCAATCATGACAAGAGTAGCAGGACAGATCGTTGCAGAGAAGAGTCGAACCAGCTTGCATCAATCTAAGGGTAACTACATTATAACACATTATAAAAACGACTAGAAGTCATACAAGTCCTTGGGGCTGAAGTTCAGTCTTTGATTAGAATTATATTTCAAGAGCAAAATCGAATAGCGTTCCCCTTTTTCTTCGGTTATATTTCCAGTTTAGTTGGTCCTCATAAGAAAGGGTTCTGGCTGCTGTGTGCAGCCTGTGATCCGTCGGTGCTTCCTGAAGAGAAGGGCAACAAGGGCTCAGGGAGGGTCCCCGGCAGGCCGAAGCCTGGCTGGGTGGGGTGAGTGAGGGACATAGGGAGGCTAGTAGGCTGGTGGCTCATTGGCAGGGGCAAGGAGGCACTGTATGGAAGGGAAGTGCCCTGAGGCGCCGAAGATATCGAGCCAGAGCCCAATTGATTCAGAGTTAGTTTGGGCTGCTCAGTTTGGAATGGATTGTTAGGTGAAGGAGCACTCAGCCCTAGACAGAAAAAAAAACAACAGAAAACTATTAGGTTTGCCCCAAAGGAATACTTCCCCCACAAATATGTTCATATTCTCAACCCTTCTGCATTAACAATCACACACATGCCCAGGCACACTACTCGTATGTGCAAGTCAGCTTCATACAGAATGGTTTAAGGACCATGTGTTTGGTGAGTTGTGAGCAAACCAAGTGAATTAGACTGTGATTATACTGCAAGAGTTGTGCGAGAGTTTGTAAATGGATCATTGATATTAGTGATGGGAATTATGGCTCTTTGAAGGGAGTCGGATCTTATGGCTCCACTCCTTTGTGAGAGCCGTTCAAAAGAGCCGGTTTTTTTAAGGGGGAGGGGTGAATAGGTTTATCTGCGAAATATACCTTTTATAATTCAATTAAATGTAGCCCTGTTTTGACTAATGATTTATATGTGTACATATATATCACTTACATTATTCAATACATCCTTTGTACTGAAGTATTCAAAAGTAAAAATTACATTTTTAATATAAATTATTTGCTGTAGCCAATTGTTTTCATTGCATTTACAGATTCTTGTAGAACTACGCTATAAAAAAGCAAATGGCAACACCTATACAAACTGACAACAAATCTTTGCTGAGCCTAATAAATATATTGCAATGCTCAAAACAGCAGCATCCAACAGTCTACTTGGATATTACATGTCACTGCATGCATTCACGGAGCAACCGTAGCGCGGAGATCATCTATAAAAATAAAAAAAAGGCTTGTTCGCGGGCAGGAGCCGGCTCCCGTCGTTCACTTTGAGCTGGCTCGTTCGCGACCGACACATAACTAATTGATATGGTTATGCTACTATCAAACACAGCGCTCTAGATTCTGCATAAATGTGAGAAAAATAACATTTTAATAGATCAGTCTACACAGAACTGATTTTAAGCTAGAGTTTCAGCTATTAAAGTCTCTTGACTTCCCTGGTCTTTCCCTTGTAAAACAAAAATAGTATTGTATCTTCAGCCAATAGTACAGATATTACCTGATAGGAAGGGGTTCAGGATCTTGGCTGGGGGGTTTACTGGGATCAAGGCGTCCAGGTTCACCAAGGAAGCTGCTGTGGGGCCCAGGAAGGCCTCAGGTGTCCTGCATGAACGAGGGCTGGGGGCAGCCAAGCTTTCTCCAAGACGTGACAGGTCAAAAAGCTCAGGACTGCCCTCTCCTCGCCCATTCAAGTTCACCTGGCCTCCATCCATGGCCTCATCAAACAGATCGCCATCTAAAAGCGAAAAAATATTAAGTTCTTACATTGCAAATGTGTGGGATGCACAGAACCACAAAACAGTAAAATAATTCACTGTTTACCTGAGGGGCTTCCAGGTCGAGCACCGGAGTCCCTTGTAGCTCCCATGTGTGCTGAGAATGCATCCATTCGAGAGGAGGCTATAAACATACCCACATACATTTCATTATATTATTTAAATATGTCTTTGTAAATATCTATGTTGCACCTCCTATATTTATTTTTCGGCTGAGCTGCATGGGAGCTTATATTACCTGTGCTGGGAGGGAAGGCCCATTCTTGGCCGGGGGCCTTCAGGTGGCTCTGAGGGTCATCCCAGGGGTCGACTGTGGGCTCCCATGGTGGAGGGGGGCTGTTGGAAGTTGGAGGTGCCATCCAGGGAGGATCTACCCTCTGGATGTTGGTGCTGCCTTTTTTAGTAACAGACAGGTGAATGAGAGAGAGAGAGAGAGAGAAAGAGAGTCTCCTGTTTTAGCATGAACTAAAAAGCAGAACATGCTGTGCCGTAAATATGAAGAATGGGGGGGTTTCATTCCAACACTGTCCTCTAAAATAAGGCGACACATGCTTCTGACTATTATTTACTACACAACTTGGGCTCAAAGGTTCAGTTGGATACTTTTAAAGGAATATATTTCTTCATATTTGCTCTAACTGTCACATTTCCCTGACAGGGGGATTAGAGAAATAATAAGTAAAAAAACTAATTCCGGTTTCTCTGCCTCCTCCTGTTCTGATTATATATCTCATCACAATATGGAAGGATACGGTAACGGTTCCTTTAAATATGATAAAAAGTTACTTTTATAAAATATAGGCAAGGCAAGTTTATGTATATAGCACTTTTCAGCACGTGACAATTCAAAGTGAATATACCAACTTATCCTTTGAACTCTCCTTCTTTAGTCATGGTAAGCTAACTCAAGTCTCACCCATTGTGTCCCATGGATCCCTTATCTCCTGAGGAGCGGCTGCCAGGGGAGGGGCATTATTCCATCGGTGGTCACGAGGAGGCTGAGCTGAGGGCAATGCGAAAACATCTACAAGGTCCATGAAGGCAGTCTGACAAAAACAAGAAAAACAGGGTCAATTTAGTATATTGCTTCTACTCTCAGACGGTTATGAAATCCTCAATGAAAAAGTTGAATTTAATTTTTCAAAAAGTGTAATGCTATTCTGGAGATTTAAAACATGATCCCACCAAATAATCAAGCACCTAATAATTATCAAAAGTCAATATAATTTGTAATTTTATTTTAGTCCTCGAAGCATGAGAAAAACACTAAACTACAATGTATGGTTGTATTTCACCACCCCCATTGAGATATTCCATACCCCAATATTTCATACCCCGCCTTTAGAATCCATCTCATGTTTGCTTTCCTCCAGAGCTTTCTTGAGCGTCAACTCATCTCCTTGGCGACTGAGCTGCTCCTGTCAACAGAAAGACACATGGTCGCCTTTGGGCATGACAGCTTCCAGCAAAATTCCCATATTGTAATTTGTCACTTCATAGTGTATTTATGACTCAACCTATGCTCACTAGCTCCAAAGCCAGCTTGCTTGTTTTTTTCTATGACCCAGATATAGATGAGTGCGATGGGCACAAACCAACCAAATTCTGTGGTCAAACAGAAGAGAGATATCACTCTGATTTCTAACAGAGCAGCTCTATTGTGGCATAGTTAGAGAGGAAAAAAGGGAGGAAAAGGAATGAGACAGTGAGACAGGAGGAGAGAGGTTACACCAGATAAAACAACAGTGATAAGAAAGAAGCAAGTTTGCCATTTTAAAGTGGTTGATAATCATTAGAGAAAACAATAAAAACATGGAGGACGATTCCCTAATCTGTAACCTAAGATTACTTAATTCAAAGTAATGATCTTGAAGATTTCCATTTGAAAAAAAAGTCTATCAAGTAACACAATGGTCATTGAGCCAATGGTTCACCAATAAAAGCACTTGCATGTGTAGTATTTCAAACTTGATCTATGTGGGGACTTTCCCAGGGAAAGTCCCAAGAGTCACACGATAAGTGACCGTTTCATTCACCCAGCTGTGGATGGTTAGGAGAGCCAGAAAGGTTCCCTGGAGCTAGTTAAATGTGAAGTTGCTTACAGTGTTTTTGGTCTAGAAAAGCTGATAAACTATGAAACAAGCAATGACTGCAGCAATAATTGAAAACAACTTCAAAAGGTTTGATCCAAAGACCCATCATCATTTACTGTTTGTTGCCACAGGAAACAGTGACATGAGAATGTAAGTTTAAATCTCAGCATCTCCAAAAATAAAAAGTGTCCCCCCCCCCCAGTGACAACAACAAACCCTACCTGCTGGTGCTCCTCCTTGCTCAGGCTCAGGGCTAACTCAAGCTGGGATTCTTCATCCATTTCCAGTGCCACAGGTACAGGTTTGACTGGCTGGGTGGGGAGGGGGTCCAGGGAGGAAATTACAATTAGTATTTGGTCAACAAAAGGGTAAATAATGCTTGGAAAAACAGACAATACATTGCATGCAATTATAAAGGTGTCCCAGTCCGGCAGAGTAAAAGGGTCCAACCTTCTGCCCTTCCCTGATGCCACACCAGGAAAGTGTTTGACATGATCTCATTCTACTGAACTAAGAGGAGAGATATAATGGTTAGTTAAACAGAAGGATGAAGCCTCTTCTGATTAGTCGCTGTAAACAAAAAAAAACATGTATTTTTCCTGTTCATGGTTAAGTGAAGCCGGATGTAGAAAGGAGAGTGAGTAGTTCATGCAGTAGTTTTTCTCAAAAGGGCTGAGACTCTATCGTGAGGTTGGTTTTTAGTGTGAAGAGCAACAGAAGATGTGCTTTAGAGCAAAGGATGCAAAGGAAGAGTCATCCTATATCCCAGCATACTTGTACCTTCTTGGTCTCCTCCTTGCTGAGAGTCATAGCAATCTGGAGCTGGGTCTGTTCATCAATATCCACTGTAGGAGGCGGCTAGGGTCAAGCAGGAAGGATTAGGAGGACGATTTTTTCAAAGGGAAAGGTAAAAGCTTGATTTAGCTTGAATGATTCTTAAAGAACTCTAACGATTTAAGGTTATTCAGATCAGAGAAGTATCACAGAAACTGCTGTGCACTACAACAAATTCCCATAGAAGCAGAGCAGGAGTCACGGTGGGCAACGCCTGTCCTTGCCATGGAGACGAGGACAGGCTGTAGGAGTGGATCAATGCACACATCCTGTCTGGCTCCTCACTCACAGTTTCCTCGCTCCAAAGCATTGCTCACACGGATTTGTCAAAGAGCCATTATTGACCACATCAGAGAGAGAATTGATGAGATCACTTTCTGTTAAAGGTTTCTGTAAAATGGCGGCCTAGTAGAGACAGGCACTTGTAGTGTGCAGTAGGGATGAGAGGTTTGTGTGTGCTCAGTGTGTGTGTCTGTGATATCTTAGTTAGAGGTACCTTTTCACTTTCTTCTCGGCTCATAGCCAGGGCCAGCTGCAGCTGCAGCTCCTCCTCTCCACTGGTTGATGGCAGAGCCTGCTCCATGTCTGGAGCAAGTCGAGGAGAGGAAGACGAGGCTACAGGGACAGAGGCAGAGAAGACGGGTGTGAACAGAAACATTAACAGATGAAAATAAACAGGAAAACAAAGAAGGAACCCTTTAGGCTGACACTGTTTTTGAATGTTAATTTGATTCCACTGCCCGTTGTTTAGGGCCTTTGCTGGCATTGCTAGCCACGGCCTGCCTAACTCTGCCTGCACCAAGAACAATGGGGCGCCTGTGTGGAGAGTTAGGGTGGTGGAGGGGCAAAGGAATGGACGGGTTGGAGTGGGGCCCATCTTATTACCCTGAATCCTTTGGGTGGGATCCAGGACGCATGTCCAGGTTTGGTGGAGGGGACGGGCCAGGGGGGCCGGCAGTATGCCAGTCTGGGCATCAGGCAGTGGGTCATGGGGCTAAAAGAGGGAAGCTGGCTACACGTTGGCAAAGTCAGGTCTCAGAAACCAATCATTTCCGCTGTGCTGCCCCTCAATATCCCATTATGAGCTGGAATGCTTGCTGGCAATTAGCTGCTGCCAACCTCTTGCCCGCCACCCAAGCCATCAGTATACCACCATGACGGGTTCCTGAAATCTAAAAGAGATCCACCACTATCCTCCCTCTAAAATCTTAAAACGTAAAATCCTCCAGGGCAAAGCGACAAAAAGAGAGTTGGAATTACAGCAGCAGACAAGTGGGCACGCATGCATTACGATCACAAATGTAAGGGTTTGTCTGAAAGCATTCCTCTCTGAATAAAAAACGACTCATTTCAAATATTTGCTTTGATTGTCATAGTGTCTGATGATTTTAAACTTAGAAGTATATGTTTTTACTACAAAACACTGCTTCTATTGTAACATTACACCTGGTAACTGTTTCTACCACATGTTTCTACCACATGTTTCCACTGGCGCACCCTCGTCTACAAAACTTATTATGCAATAAACTTGTTTCACTTAAGAAATATATTGGAGTTTTGAGGGATTATATCTCACCCCCATCTGAGGGCCTTTCTCTGTTTACACCATGAAACAGGCCTCAGATTGTTCTGTTGAAGCCACAGCTCTGCTACTGACTAACACCTTTGAATAAACACCGTAAACCACACAGACAAATGCCAAAGTATATAGTGCACAGCAGGCATACCACATCTACAAAGGCCACACAATGCTTTTTCAAAATATGTTGTACAAATCAATGACATCAGATGTCCTAATCCCTACACCCTCACTGAGGAATCACTTTGGTCCTATATTCTAGCCACCTAACCAACATCTCTACCGTAGCAGACAGATCGTACAGTTATGTAAACATGGTATCCAGTTGTGCTTTCACATTTGATTGAGACATGCACAAACAGGGCCTCCTCTCTTTTGTAAATCCAGTTTAGCTGACATTGCTGTAAACAGGAGAATGAAAGGAATGCAGTTGTCCTACCATCAGTGTCGAGCAAAACTGAAATAATGGAGGACAAAAAAGTAGAAAAGAAATACTCATCAGAGCTTAACCCATTGAGAAACGACAAGTGAAAATTAATTGATGTAGAGATCTCAAACATTTAGCAGAGAGTGAACATATTTAATTTAGGGGTGTAACGATCCCTTGATCTGGATTATATTATATTATTATTATATTAATGGATCAATGTAATGACAGACAATCCATAATAGTGTGAAAACATCAATCACATCACCATCTTAAAGATACACCTTTGTTTTCAAATGTCCAAGTCTTTTTATATATAATTTTTTTAAAGAATATATTGATTTTCATTTAAATGTCAAGGCAGACCTAATTGCAGTTTTTTTTAGCCTAGTTAATTTAAAAGTAGAAATCCTATTTTAATAAAGCTCATATAAACATTAACTGACAGTGTATCTATGAAATGGCTTTTTTGTTGGGATCAAATGGAAAACCTAGACGAGGAATGCTTTTAATCTTTTCTATGATAATTTATAAGGTTACATTTACTCTTATCTGATTAACTTTGACCTGTCATGGGTGCATTCCTGACAAATGACAGATCACATGCCAAAAAAAATAGTTATCATTCATAGTTATCAATGTTACTCACAGTGAAATGAGGATGGTGAGCCTCGGCACCTGCCAGCCTCCTCCGCATAGGCCCCTGCTGGCTGGCTTGTGCGACGTCCCGGGTATGGAGGAGGAATTGATCCGGAGCCTAAGCTACTGCTGGCCCCGGCCATGCGTGTCTTAGTCTTCAGTGCTTGGCTCCTCTCCTTCTTCAGCTTTTCATCATCCTTCAGCAGAGTCACTAGTTGCTTGGCCTTCTCCCGGACATTAACACCCTGGTCCCGTCCATCTCTATCTATGTACTGGAAGTCTCTTAGTGTCTGGATGCTGTAAATGTTCTCGCGGCACTCTTTGGCCACACGCTCGGAGCCTGATTTGATCAGGTAGTCCAGCAGGGTCATTGCCTTATATACGTGGCGCCAGTTTTTACCATGGTCGTTAAGCCGCTTCCAGATCATACCCATAACCTCCTGAAAAGCCACTACATTAAAGGTCAAGTCTGAGATTTCAGACATAAGCGAGCTGGGAGGACCCCAGGGATCGTTGGAGGTGGCCTCCCGTACCTTGACCTCAGCCTCTGTGAAGCTGTTGACCATGTTCTTCACCTGGCGGCGCAGTGATGAGGTCTGCATGATGGCAGTAGCGTTTCACAGGTGGGGGAATAAAATAGTCTAACAGCAGGTCAGCCCACTGCTTTTGTTAGAAATCTGTTCAGTGGAGAAACGCAATGAAGCAGAACTCCTTTACTTCAGTGATGTCCGCAAGTGTGTTCCTGAGGAAAGAAAAAATATATATTTACATTAATATTCGAATGTGAAATATTTCTAGAGAGAACTTTTTCACAGATAATACACACAACAATCTTCTTCAGTTACTCCTTTTGCTTGAGTTACAAACATCACTGCTGACTAGAGCTGAACTCTTACACATTGTTTCACTCAGTAATTGTGTTTGGAAGGAGAGAGAAACCACCCAGCACCTTCCAGCAATGTGAAACACAACACCTGGGCTCAGTTTTCCCTGAAACAACTTGGTGAGTACATACCGAGCACTGTTCATAAGCAATGAGTAGCTTGAAAGAGCTATTCTAAAAATCTATTTCTCAAAATAAAGCAAACATTAGTTTCAGACAGAGGGACTTCAACCTAACCTGTCAGTGTAGATATCTGTGTTTTACTTTTGAGCAAAAAAAAACGGGAGGGGTGAGCGCTCCACCTCCACTATCTTTCTGACCTGATTACATTATCACAGCAGCAGTAGGCCTTCGAAGCATTCAAAGACTGACAAACATGTAACTACTACACACATATCCACACAGTAATCCACCAGAAAAACGTAATTACTTTGCTGTTTTTTACTTTTATTTTACATCAATAGTCATATCTATTTGAATGCATATCACATTGTCCTGGACATTGGACTGCTTTTCCTCACAAAGGCGGGGCAGTGAGTCAGTTGAAAAGGTTTAACTCAAATGTCTGTCTTATCTATTTAACTTGGAAGTGAAATGCATAAACACAAATAATCAATCCCCTTTCCTTAGAAGTAAAGTGCTGTGTCATGAGTAAGTATTTCCAGACTGTTACGAAGCCTGAGATGAGAGATATTAAAATGGTCGATATCCATCCCTATGACAAAACAGATTCATGACCGATGTAAAATACAGCCATGTTGATATTGTCACAAAATGTTTTCACTAAAAACCTTAGTGTTCAACTCTTTATAAACCTCAACATGCTGTGGGCATGCTATGAATAAAAGGTGACAGCACTTGGGTGGCCTGCATTATCAGTCATATCATGAGAGTGCTGTAAATAGATTGGAGAGTGGTAGTAAAAAAGAAAATGCTTGTGGCTCAGCGGACCACAGGTTAAATCTCAAGAGGTGACCAATGCTCGCCTTTCAGTCCCATTATCTCCTGATCCCTGGGGTCACTTGGCTGGAGAGGAAAAGATAACCGTTTCAAATGTTCTCTTCCAGTAATGCCTTTAAATCAAAGAGGAACTGAGCGTGGAGGTTTAATGCAAGTGTGACAATTAAACTGCTTCTTTGACTAGATTTCTAACACAATCTGGAGGCCTCCATGAAAGCTGTTCTTACAGACATAATATAGTTAAACTGATGTCTGACAAATTACTATCACTTCAGTTGGACTAAAAGGCAGTGATGAAAGAAGTAGTCAGATGTTGTACCTTAATAACAAGTAGTAATAATGCCCCTGTGTAAATGAATAAGCATCATACTATGTTAAGTACCAATAGTAAAAGTATACATGTTAAATCTAAATATAGCTACAGTATAATATAGAATTGTTTTACAGTTATTGATATACAATATTGCTTGTACAGCACTATCACATTGCCCTCGACATTGGACTGGAGCTGGTGTTTTTTTGGCTTTGATACAGTTGGGTAGCTAATGTGTAAAAATGTGTAATATATTACATTTTAGTTGGAATTTAAAGTACAATATTTCACTTTAAAATGTAGTGGAGTAGAAGTACACAGTACCATTCGATGGAAATACTCAATTTAAGTAAAAGTACCTGAAAATTGCAGAAGCCTTATTGAGTTAATGTACTTACTTACATTCCCCCTGCTAATAGTAGGTAGATAATGGAAGCACCACTCCCTCCCCACCACTACACACACATTATACTCCTATCAGTCATCCTATCTTTCATAACAAAACGAATACTTCTCCAGCAGCTTGAGTGTAACTTGTGACCTTGACATGGTTACATACTGGAGTAAAGTATTTACTTTGTCTGATTCCACCTATGGTATACTTTTGTAAAGCACATTCTCCAGTTAAAAAAAAAAAATTAAGCACAGTTTAAAGTGAGCCCATCAATTCCTAACATATTTCATCATACTTTTGGGAATCAAGCTGTTCCCGGACCAGGCCTACATGCCCTCCCAGGTGTGTCTGTTATGTCTTACAGATGTTTGGAATAACACAAAAACCACTGGATGGAAACACGGGTCTCGATTTCACTCGTGTCCTTTTTGTCCCAAACTAGGACGAATGGAGCCATTATAGTGCACGTTGCGTCAAATGATATGATCGGGTAGGTGAAAGTGACCGTGACTCAGCTATGTTCGGGAGTTAAAAAAGTTGGAACCTCGACAGAATAACAAGAACACGACCCCGATCCCCTCAGCGTCCACTTTCCCTCTTACCTTCATGTCAAAGCGCGTCAGTGGGGTCCCAACTTGGGGAGGCTTTGGGTGGAAAAAGAAACGCCTCCGTCTCTCGACATATCCCGTAGCTTTCGTGTAGAAAAATGTAACTATAGTTAAAAAAGAAAGGTCGCCTATTCAAAGCAGATGGAAGACGTGTGTGCTCAAAATGAATGCACAACTAAACCCGGTAGTGCTGTTTTGTTATCAAACTTCCTTGAGAGTCTATATCCCAATCCAGGCTTGCAGATGGCAAAGCCCTCCCCTAAAAAACACACACACAGTAAAAATGGATGGATTAGGGAGAGAAGAGAAAGGGAGGGAGGGAGGCCTGCTCGGTGAATGCAGAGTCAGACTTAACCCCTTCACCGCCTGATGAAAAAGCACCTTAGCTCACTGGAGCAGGTGATCACTGAAGAACTACACACAGCTTAACATGACAGACTGTGAGGTGTAAGTGGAGACACACAGGTTAAATCTGATAGTACCCTATCCTAAAAAGATAATGGTTATCCTATATAAGGCAGGATTTCAGCATATCAAAAAAAAATACTGCTAAATATTAATGTATTAAAGGAAGTACCCAAAAGATATAGGATATGGGAGATAAAAACCACTGTGACCAGGTGGGCCCAAATCTATAAGTGAATACTACAATCCCTTTTATTTCCCATAGAGCTATGCTGTTAAGAGTGAGTGAACATCCCAGAGGGATACAACAACAGACCGCATTTCCTTTTCAGCAACTTCCTCATTGCATCTCTGCTCTTTACTTATTCATTAGAGCTAATGGAACGTGTATGCATTATACAACACCCAAATATTTTTTGTGTTTACCCTGGCTTACATCATTCAAAAAGTGCTAAGTAATATCTGTCTCTATGAGAGAAGGATCATGAAGTCGAGGGGGTAATGATTAGCTAACTGTGGGAGAAGCAGAGAGCAGTGGGCTGGTTGACTGAGCAGGATATACAGGAAATACCAGCTCCACCTTGAAACAACAAAGTCACAACTCTTGGAGTCAACACAAGGGCAACGTTTAGAGAATTTAAAATTCATAAAGCAGTGAAACTTCTCAGACAGGATTGTTCTAGTTCTCAGAAAGTGTTTCAAATAAGTTTATTGTGTGGGAGCATATGTCTTGTTGCAGCTCCTGTTTGATTTGTATGTGACTCTCATTGATCGGTCGGTGGAGCCAACTTCATATACCTCCTCCAGGCCCTCCTCCTCTGCCTGGCACCCTATGTCTTTATTTCTCTTGAAAACAGATGCCTGAACACTCTTTGTTTCCCAACAAAGGCCTGATGAGGTCAGCGCAGGGGGGACATGCAGGCGAGGCTTGGGAAAACGGAGGGGGAGGAGAAACAACTGATAAATAACACCAGCCTGCTACTGCATGCCAGTGATGTCACACAGGAGAGGAAATCTGACTTGTGTGTTTGTGATTATGTGCCTAAAACCAACATTAGTGCTTGTGATGACTTTCTATCCACTGAAGGATCATGTTTCTAAAACTTCACTGTATGGAATCTACCTCTCTTTGCTGTCCTCTAGTGGTTTTATTTTCATGTGGGTTATGCAGGTTTTTTTTGGTTCTGTGATTAGAACATCAGTAAAGAATATTTAGGGCCCCAGGTTCATGACATATCAGCTGGCCCCCTATAATTTGATAAGAAATGTGCATCAATTAATTAATTCAAAACAAATACAAATAACTTTGAGTAAAGATTCATATTCAGTAGGAGTTTTGTAATGCAGCATCCTATGATACTATTCATAATCATTATGTCTGACAACTATTTTCTGAATATTAAGTATATAAAATGTCAGAAAATAGTAGAAAAGGCCAAAAAAAAATCCCCTAAAGCCGAGTTTAACACATTTAAATTATTTCTTGCCTGACCAACATCTAAAAACCAGGAGATTTTGTCCTCTGCAAAATAAACAGAGAAATGCAATAAAACAGAAGATATTTAGTTTACAATGATAAGAATGTTACCCTACTGATTAATTAGCTTAAAAATGACAAAAATATATATAGTTTATTATACAAATTAAACCTTACTAATTTTCTGTCAAACAACGTATCCATTAGACAATAATTCCAGCTTTGGGGTAATGGTTGGTTTTTCAGTGCTTTGCTAAATAATGAGAAGAAAATATTTTCCAACACATTTGCATGGTGTTTAAAGCACCAAACAAACACAAACACAAGAGTAAAGCAGTCAGGTGAAGAAGGACTCTGCCTGGCCCTGGAAACAAACAGACGGTCTGTTCAGATGATACAGTAAGTGTCAATTTGATAGGTTGATGACGTGTTCCAATCATTTCTATAAATACGAACATAGTAGAATATGTGACAGTGCATGGTTTATATATTTATACGTGTACCCATGGTGCGATCAAGTATGTAACAGCGTCTGTAAGTGTGATTACAAATGAAATAGGCAGGACGTTGTAGTGACGAAGAGTGTTCAGGGAAATTATAGCAACGGTAGGGAGGATTAACCCTTGTGTTTTGTTGATATTAGGTTTCCTTTCTTATTGTTAGGGTTCCCATCAGCGTACAACAAAAATATTACAATTATTTCTGCATGTTTGAGTATTTTTTTATTTTCTTCTGACCTTAATATAATCAGTATGTAGGATATTCAAGTGTATCACAAACTTAAATCAAATAAAGTTAAGGTTTTACATACAGTCTACATATACAATTGTTTTAAGGAGAGTTCATCAGCACTCCAAGAGATATAGAGGTGAGCAGTTCTCTATTATGTTTCCCATCATGTCATGGGATCTATTTTTGTATGATGTAGAGATTGCATTCTGCAATCAATCTTTTCCTTTCTGTACTGTAAGTGAATTATCCAATCCTCTTCAGGTTTAGCAGATAGAAAACCATTATGTGAAGTGTTCTTACAGAGTGGCCTTGGTTTGTAAAAGGGCTGGTTGAATGTAGAAAAGCTGCATTTATATAATATGTTCTGGCTTCTTGGTTTACTGCCAAGTTACAGCTCAAATATTCAGTACTTTAAAGTCGGGGAGGAACGTGTTCTTAGCCGTATCACGACTAAACCTTCACTCTTAAATATATATAAATGCATATATATTATTGACTATAAAGCAAAGGTAAATCTTTATGCCCTTAAAGTGATGTCTCTTGCTATTTTCCAAACCCTTATATAGAAGGAAAAAAACATCCGATTGCATAACGAGGCATGTGAGTTCTAGAGCAGATAGTGAGCTGTTTCTCAAGTCTTGATACTGAGAGCTTTGTGATCACTTCAGAAAAATGCAAGGTTTGCAAGTACTGTTCATGACAGCCTCACGAATAATGGAATCCCGGATTCACAGCTATGTCAGGCTACGTATAGGCACATCTTTTTGATAGGCTTATGCAACAAACAAAAAGTGTGAGGGTAATATGAACATAGTCAAATACTAAAAAGTGACAGGTCACAAATGAAGTGAAACACATACTAAACCCTAATTGAAATCCTGGCAGCATTGTAAACGGAGAGGAAGAAAACATGTCTATGCTTTCACATCCGGTGTCCATGGCAACAGGGGTTTTGTCAGTTATCTGTCATTCATCTTTTATTTATAATGTGGACATCTAAACGTGAGGTGCTAAAACATAGTAGCCTATAATGTACAGTAATTAAGTTTGAATACATCAGAATATAACAAGGATTTATCTCAGGACAACATGTACAAAAGCATAATTTAAGTCTGATTTTGACTATTTTAATGTATTTGTGCCCACAACTAAAATGATTTGTCATTGAAACTACTTTAAACACTTGGAAAACCTTCTTGCTTTTTTCCATGTCTGTTAAAGATTTAAAGACTCCAGGACAATATGAACTAAATGTGTGCAGCGGGGAGGCGTGTGGTGCAGTGGGTTGAGCGTTGGTGTTCGGATCAGGGGGTCACAGGTTCAAACTGTAGTCAGCATGTCGTTATGTCACTGGGCAAGACACTTCACCCCAAATTGCTCCTGTGGGGATTGCCCACAGTATTGAGTATGTAAGTGTCTAACAAGTAACAAGTGACATGTAATGTGTGGCATTTTCCTTATCATACTCAATAGACTCTTTGGATACAAATAAACACATTTGGACAACTCTGTATTTCCAGATTTTTATAGTCAGGCTGAGCAGGAATATACAAGTCTTTTTTAAGAAACACCGTGATGGTTTTTAAAACATAATACAAACACATGAAAAAACAGGTTACCACAAAACTGCCAAAAAAATGATTATTATCAACATGACAGCATTGTTAGGAGAGGATAACCACAATTATTAGGGTTCAAACCTTCAGTGTCCATCTTATTGATGCTAAGGACTGCTAATTTATCATCCATAATGACAACACCTGAACATGGGATAAAAATAGATCCTTGATTAGGTTTGAACAGATCAGAATTTCCCAAAGGTTTGCCTCAGAACAAACGTCTGATTTGGTTTATTTTAGTCTTTGGACACAAACATATAGATTTGGGAAACTCCTCTGTCTTTGACTCCTCTCTCTTCCCACACTTATCGACCTAAATCCTTCAAAGGAAAACTGCAATAGTTAAAAAAGGAGATCGTGTGTGTGTTTTTTGTTTGTGGGCTGCATGCTTTGTCTTTCTATATAAGGAGCGTTTGCTCTGTGTGAAAGCGTGACGCAGGCACTGCGCTGTTTGTGGGTGTATAAGAGGCGCCTCTCGGCTCTGTTTCTACGCACACATGGGGAAGCAACTTGGGTCGGTAAGATTTTGATAGCCTCTGGTGTCTGGGGAAGCTTGAAAGGAAACGGAGATGAACGCAACGATTTACCTTTCCGTTGATGGCATCCTCGAAACGTTCAACTCTCTCACCAGGCATCAACAATCAGGCATCACGCACCCAGTCATGCAGAGCTCAGCCCTTATCCCAGTCACGCACCCCAAAGTCTCAAATATATCTAAGACAGGCATGGGCATCATCAAAACGGTGAAAGGGCACTTGAGACAACACGGGGTTGATAGTAGATCCAGTTCTGGAAATCGGCAGCTTTCAAGTGATCGACTCCCCTATAGGTCCGTGGATCTGATGGAGCTGGGTCTGGCCAAGCCTAAGAACTGTCACAGAATAGTGGTGCTTGGCGCGCCAAAAGTGGGTAAAACCAACATCCTTCAACGATTCTTGGGGAAACAATTTGAAGAACAATACGAACCCACAATCGAGGACTTCCACCGAAAACTCTTCTACATAGGAGGGGAGGCATACCAGATCGATATTCTGGACGCCCCGAGTGAGAGGGACTTCCCTGCAAAACGGAGGCTATCCATTCTGACAGGTGAGGCACTTGATGGTTAATCATTGCAGATTTTGATAAACTGTAGAATTCGGTGTTATATTATAACATGACATGCCTTAACAATCTCAATCTCTTTCTCTCCAGGTGACACCTTCCTGCTTGTGTTCAGTTTGGATGACAGAGAGTCCTTCAATAAAGTCTGTGAGTTTCTAAACGAGATCAAAGACGCTAAGGCGAAGTTACTGAAATGTAAACATCTCCCGAGAGTCCCAGCAGTCGTGATATGTGGGAACAAAGCGGACTTGAAGGCGCAGAGAGTCGTCAGGCAGTCAGAGGTAGCAGAAGCCCTCGGTGAGGATGTGACATTCTTCGAAACCTCTGCTAAAGATGGTACTGGGATGGAAGCTGCGTTCAGGGGCCTAGCCTCTGTAGGCAGACTACCTGACGAGACAATTCCGTCACGGCATGAGATGATATCCCTCTTCACCTACCAGTCGATGTGCATCGGCCGGCGGGGCAGGAGAGGAAGCCGGGGTCTCTGTGCGCCCTGTGCCGCAGTGGACCCTCTGGCGTGCCGCCCGAGCTTCACCAGCGACCTGCGCCTGGTGCTGAAATCAAGCACCAAACACAACAAACCCGAGAGGTGTCAGATTCAATGAATTTCAAGCCTTCTCGATCAAACCAATTGTAGTAGTATGCTGCAATATCATATTATGTAAGGAGTTATACTCTGCGGCACATGGCTGGACCAGTGCATTCATTTCTTGTTTTTGTATGTAACTGCATTTATATTATCTTATGTTAATAAAAACAATATTTCCAATTGTCATATGTGTTTCTGGTCTAACATTCACTTTATTTCAGACATGCAGTTTATTAATGAGATGCAGATATGCTTAGATTGTGTTCATGTACGTCAGCAATTAATTCAAGTGGATCTTGCGACCTCATTATAGTGAGGAGATGACTCACACTGATCTTAAACTTCTTCTTATATTCGTTCACAACACAATAGTTAGCTCTAATTTGAAATCCTCCCACACTGCTGTGAATGGCACCCAGAGCTGAGATGTAGCAACGCTTTCTAATAATTATAAGTAGCCTAAACACTCATGTGTCACCATAATGAGGGAAACAAAGAGTTAAAGCATCACGTATTACGTATTATACGTATTATTTATATACAGTCTATGCGTATTACAGAGGGGAGAGAGTGAGAGACATGCTGGACTCTGAAATCAGCACCATGGAGAGAGCCCACACAAACCCTGATATACCACTGAGTAGCAATTCAATTTTAAAACACTCAGCCTTTTCTTTCCAATATATCAAACCCACTCCACGGGTTTCTCTGAAGAAACCATTGCGTAGGCTGTCTGTTCAGAGTGTCTTTCACTTGTGAAAAAGGATAGTGCGTGTCAGTTATCAAGTATACTGCATTGAACTGAAAAGGTACTTGTTTGTGCCATATCAAGAGCAGCACTTTAAAGCTTGGCAGTGTATAACACATCCATTTGAACTTTCCCTATCAAATTATTTGACGCAATTTTGCTCGCGTTCCCAGCTGTATTTAAATAAATGAAAACCATAATTTAGTTGCTGTAGCTGACAGAGGTGCTGCAGCAGACTAATCATCCTGCTTTATGAATCATAGAGCAGAGAGTCGTGACTACTGCACAGCAGAGACTGTATCCATGCACTCATCATTATAGCCTCATGAGTAACACACTCCCTATAGCAGATATACCAGGCGTATACTAAAGTGGCTACTGGTAAGAGAACACTGTATTCAGAACAATAGTTAATATATTTAATTAGCTTCCAGGTGCTTCCATTACTCTGAGTCAGTCATTTCATTTTCATCTAAACATGATTACACAAGGAATTGTGCCTTCTTTGAAAAGACTCAAATTGGAGCACAAATCCACTAATTCATCTTTACAAATATGATTTTTTTTTATAGTTAGTTATAAAATAATTACAGAATGGGGTTCCTCTGGAAATCTAACACTGCTTGTTAACTCTACAAACTAAAGTGACCGTCAAAGCACAATAAATATAGTATCACACATTTATATTTTGGCATTAGTTGAAGTTAAAGATATACACGTTGAAATGTTTTCAAGAAATTATGGAGAATACAATGCAGTGTTAACAAAATGTTCCACTTGTGAAGGTGCATACACATTAACACTGTGACAGTTCATTCAAATGTGAACTTTGCAAACTTCTTAACTAGATCCGTACATTTTCATGAATCCCTCTGGCTGTAACACTCATTTAAAAACAAATGTTCTAACCATCTTTCCTGCAATTTTATTTTAGCGAGTTTAATTAAAATGTTGCTGAATGAGTCATACACATTTTCAAATAATAGCAGCTAATTAGATTTTATAACATTCATTTGATTCAGGTGTGTTGAACATATCAGCCGTAGATCTTCACTAATGTGAAGGAAATTACAGACCAGGGAAACAATTAACTCACAAAGATGAATCTCAAATGTATCCATGAATTAAAACCTTTATTCTCACACTATCCTGTGTACTGGGAGAGGAATAATCATATTTGAATGAAAAGATCTTTTAAGAAATCTTTCAGCGCAAGCAATAACTGCATGATAGCACCTCAAGGCCTTATGAAATATATTAACATCTAATGTTCTTATCCAATCAGAGTGATGACGGTACTTACAGTGCGATAAAGAGACAATATAATATAAAAGCCTGTGGGGCCTGTTATATTTCCATACAAACAAAGGTAGGTTTGTGCTGCCAACTAAACAGCAAAGTAACACTAAAGAGAAAACAGTGTAAAATATGGCAAAGGCTTAAATAATGAATTTCAACACAACATAAAACTTAAATATGTGGGGTTGTTTTAATAAATATCTGCTTGTTCTGAGTATTGTTTTACACGTCCTGTCCGCCAGACCCTCAATAAAGCTTTCTCCGAAGATATTGCCTTTGTTACCAATACAGTCATCGTGTGTTAGAGGTCCTATTTGTTTGTCCTTTAGCATGCTCGTCCTCCTGTAGCCTCTGACTGACTCTTCTCTCCAGCTCCACCAGTAGAGCTGGCAGCAGGCTGTCCAGTAAGGCCAGTCCCTCCCAGGAGCAGCGCAGGCCTCTGATAACGCGGAAATCCAAAACAAAGACAGAAATCAAATAATTAATTACAGGCATGCAACTACTGATAAATCAGGTGTGTGACAATGATATATTCTCTAATATAACATGTATTATTTATTATTAATAATATTCTATAATAATGTGCAATTACGTATCTGCCACTACGTTTTTTTTGCACTACTAAACACTGTTAATATGTACATTAATTATGTGACCGTCTATGTTTCCTGTAGATATATATAATTGCTCTTTTTACTGCACTGTCAGTGTACAGTTTTATTATTAAGCTGCTGTGTTTATTGTATTTTTGTAACTCTGGCACAACAATTTCCTTCGGGATAAATAAAGTCTTATCTTATTATTTCCAAAAGAATGCCAAACATTCCCTGGTTCCAGCTTTATCAATTTCCTAACTGAATTTGTAGTAAGTATGTTTTAGAGTGCTGAAAAGTAGAGCTGAAATGATTAGTTGATCAACAGAACAATTATTACGAACGAAATGCCTATTTTGATGGTGTCAGTTTGAGAGGTTGATGACGTGGTCCAATCATTTCTATAAATACGAACATTGTGGGATATGTGACAGTGGTTTCTATATTTAAACATGTACCCATGGTGCGATCGAGTATGTGACAGCGTCTGTAAGTGTGATTACAATTGAAATCTATTGGCCCAGTAGGACGTTGTAGAGTGACTAAGAGTGGTTTGGAAACCTTCAGGAAGAGAAATTATAGTAACGGTAGGGAGGATTAACCCTGATGTTTTGTTGATATTAGGTTTCCTTTCTTATCGTTTCTTACTGTAGGTTTAAACATAATACAAGTATGTCTGCATGTTTGAGTATTTTCTTATTTTCTTCTGACCTTAAAAGGTCCCCTATTATACTGTTTTTCATCAATATATGATAGTTCTCAGATATATACAAAACATGTCTCTGAAGTGTATTGCTCGAAATACCAAAGAGATCATTGTAGCATCCCATAATCCCCTCTGTTTCAGCCCTGTTTCAAAAGTGCTGATTCTCTGTCTTTAGATGAAAATAAGGAGCCACTCCCCACGCCTCTCTGAGAGATATTTGGTTAAAAATAACACAATGGTGCTCTAGGAGGAGATTCAGGTGATAAGGTGGTGGGGGGGGGGTCACCTTGGTTGGTTAATGGTTACACAAGCCAAAACACCAGCTCAATTTCAGCTCATTTTTTACAGTGTGTACAAACATATAAAATGCATCAGTACACCAAGAGAAATGGCAGAGCAAATCTCTATTAGGTTTCCCATCATGGGATCTATTTTCTATGATCTAGAGATTGCATCTCCATGGCAATCAGTCTTTCCTTTCTCTACAAGTGCATTGTCCAACCCACTCTTCAGCGTATGAAGTGTTCTTACAGAGTGGCCTTGGTTTGAACAAGGGCTGGTTGAATGTAGAAAAGCTGCATTTATATAATATGTTCTGGCTTCTGGATTTACTGCCAAGTACAGCTCAAGTATTCAGTACTTTAAAGTCGGGGAGGAACGTGTTCTTCAGCCGTATCACGACTAAACCTTCACTCTTAAATATATATATAATGCATATTTACTATAAAGCCAAGGTAAAACTTTATGCCCTTAAAGTGATGTCTCTTGCTATTTTCCAAAACCTTATACAGTAGGATAAAAACATCAGATCGCATGACCAGGGGAATGAGTTCAACCGAAAAACAATTACTGACTAAATAACTATTTTGATAGTCAATCAACTGTAAATGTACATGTGAAATAAAAAACTGCTGTTTTTAGCCTTGCAAATAAGCCGATTTTCTGCCTTTTTACTTTTCTTTTTTATATTAAATAAACTGATTATATTTGGGGTTTTAACCGAAAAAACAGACATTTGAAGACATAAAATTGGACTTTGATAAATAGGCATTGACATTTTGAACTATTTGTTGATAATTTTTAGACAAAACAATTAATCAAGAAAATAAGCAGCAGATAAATTGCCTCACACTGACCTTACACAAGTCACTATTGTCTTTCTTGTCAGGGGAAATTGCAAAGTTCAAATATTTAAAAATGATAATGATGAGTCACCTCTCATCAAGAATGAGTTGTCCTCTCTGAAGCAACTCTTGGACGTCGCTGGATGTACCAAACACTTCATGGAGGCCCAGTTGAGGGCTAAACAACTCCCAATGCTGTTGAATATCAGAAAATGATCAATTATACATTTTTCAAGATGTGTAGAACACTGAACATCCCGTTTGTTGACAAAGAATATAACAAAGTAAATTGGCTTTTTTTTTAAAAAGTGCATTTCATGTAAGTACAAAAGATCCACCTTGTGATTAATGCCTTCCGTCATTCTCATTCCCATCACCAACACCTCCTCCAATCTGCCAGAGAGAAATCTTTGAGAACAGATTCTCACAGTCGCTTTGACAGTTATTAGGACGGAGTGAGTAAACAATTGGATAATTGAGTTTCATGAGCACAGAATATCCGAAAGAGCAAGAACATGTAAAATAACACCATGCTTCTCACTCTGGGGTTGTTACATTTCACATGACAGCCCCACTTTCATTTACTAACCAATTACACTCGTCACCAAACACAACACTATAGGTCGTGAAGCTTACAGTTCAAGATTGCTGAGTTGAATCCTCCTCCGTGTCGCATGTCCCTTCTGCTGGACCTCACGCATCCAGATGTCAGGTTCCAGAGTCTGGGTCCGGGCCTCGCGGAGGACCCCCCCCTCCCCCACAGGGACAAACCTTCCGTGAGCTCCTGCCAAAGACAACAATTTGAACTTTTCAACCAGTACAATATTCTCTATTGCACTGCCTTTATTCTAGGTAGTAGCTCACCTGGGCCGACCCCGATGTACTGCGCTCCCTTCCAGTAGCTCCTGTTGTGATGACTCACTGCGTTCTACGTAACACAAATTGAAGTGTTATTATGTTATTGTGACTGTTTCTCTCAGACACGAGGCAATATGGCGCAAAACAGAACAGACATCTGCCCTGTTGATGGAGTTATGCTTGAGACATTTCATTAGGAACAAACAGAAACTGGACTATTAGTCAGAAGGATCTCTCCGAATTATAATCATTTGTTATTTCATAATGTATTATTTAACTCTCGCTTTACAACCTGAAGAACACTTCAGTCTTCTTAAAATCCATATTTCTTTAATATTCTGTATTCTTTATTTTTTTCTTAATGTTTTGTATTTAAAAGGTATTTTAAAGGTAACATTTTTTTTAAATGTACATTTGAATTACACATGGCTGATTTGTCAGACATCTAAAAGAAAAATATTGACAGTTCAGAAAACACACATTTTAAATTATATATAATCATGTCCTACTACATAGAGGAATCTCCAACAATTAAAATAAATCAAATGTATCCAACCTTTTAAAAAAATGTTGGTTTTAGCTAAATAAATGAATAAATCAGCATAGAACCGTATCACCTTAGATACATTTAAATAAGTAATCATACTGTAGGAGCAAATTGTTTTTGTCACAGTGCTGCCTTTACAAGGACCATTGCTGTAATTTGTTCACTCTTGGAGTCAATTTCATTAACTGTATCTAATTGTTATTTAAACGTTGCAAACGTTCCTGTTATGTTGATAAAAGTTGTAATGTTTCCTAAGGAGCGGAGGACAATGAGAGTGCTGTCTTTCTGCTGAGGACTTACTTGTCTGGCAAAGTTAGACACCTCGTACTGCAGGAGGCCGTGCTGGTGGAGGGTCTTCCTGGCACACAGGTACATCTCTGCTGTCTCCTCTTCAGTGGGCAGGGTCACCTCTCCTTCCAGCACCTGTTTGAACAGCTGTGTGCCTCGCTCCAATGTTAGCTGGTACAGAGACACGTGGTCGTCGCACACCCTTAACAGCTCAGACAACTCATTCTCCCAGGATTCAACGCTCTGTTTGGGACGTCCAAACATGACGTCCACCGACACCCTCCCGGGGCACAGCCTCCTGGCCTCTGCCACAGTTAGCAAAGCCTGCTGAGGGCTGTGGTCTCTTCCCAGGACTTTCAAATCTTCATCCTGCAAAGACTTGAACATGTACAACAGGTTAATTACAGTAAACTGAAAGTAAAACGCAAAAAAGCAGTGTAGAAACTGTCAACTAAATAAAAAATGCTACCTTCAGCTGAAACTATTTTGCCTGCTTAAACAAATAAAATAAGATAACACAAGCTAAATGTATTTCAGTTTTTGATGATTAACTAACAAAGAAAAGGGCACATTTTCTGTAAATGTACTTCAGAGATATTATAGCTGGACCCAAGGAAAAACAAACAAAAATTAAATATATAAAAGCTAAAATAATCGAATCTTCTGTGAACAGCATTTTATAGAGTATTCACCTGGACCCCAATGGAGAAACGGTTCACCCCTGCATGGAAGAAGTCCTCTAACTTTGACCTTCCCACAGGAGTAGGGTTGACCTCCAGTGTGACCTCAGCTGTATCTGAGAGGTTCGCCTGCCTGGAAACGGTTTCAAGGACTGCAGCAATGGTTGAGGGATGAGCCAGGCTTGGAGTCCCACCACCAAAAAACACTGATGTGATGCTGCAGGGAGACATTTAAATGTTAAGGGGGGTGGAGTCACATGTTCAAAGCTGATTTCAAACTGGAATTTAACAAGTCACCATACCAGGATACGTGACTGAGCTGCAGCAACGTCTCAGTCTCCCTCTGAAGGCACTCGGTCATCATGTGATCATTGTTCTCTCTGGGTATGTATTTGTTAAAGTTGCAGTAGGAACACCTTCTGAGACAGTAAGGCCACTGTGGAAGAGGAGAGGAGAAAGGACACGTTTAAGTTAGTCTTAGGTGGAAAATTCAACAGACATTCACTCTGGATCATCCAGCAGTGTCTTCTTGTTTCACAGACTGTCAGTCAGAGGAGAGTTAGTTCCCTGATAAGAAACTCTGTAGTTCAAAGTGAGGGCTCGGGTGTGAGCTGACTGTTCTCTGACAGAGGTGGGAGAAGTACTCAGATCTTGTACTTACAAGATTATAATTCTTACTTAAGTAGAAGTACCAGAGTTTAGGAATACTCTGTTACAAGTACAAGTCCAGCATTGCAAATGTTACTCAAGTAAAAGTATTCATTACGCAAATGGATCCATTTCAGAATAATACGTAATATATTTTTGATTATATTTATTGATGCACGAATGTGTTTATCAAAGCTGGTAAAGGTGAAGCTAGTTTTAATGGCTTTGCATATTGCAGGGTAGCTTAATTTTACTCCAGGTGTAACTAAAGTTTTATTTAAGTGTTGAATATAATTTAAATCATTAATCCAAATCTTCAAAGTAACTAAAGGTATTTAATACACGAGTTGTAGTGGGGCAGAAGTACAAAGTAGCGTACACATGTAAATACTGAAGTAAAGTACTAGTATCTCAACATTGTACTTAAGTAGTGTACTTGAGTCAATTTACTAGTCACTTTACACCACAGCTCAGAGGTGAACTAACTTTCCTCTGACTGTCGACAGTCAGAAACTGAGGAAGAAGACGCTGATGGATCCAGAGTGAATGTCTCCATTCTAAAACTAACTTCACGTTCTAGACATAGGTCAGTGAGTATGTGCATTGGATTGGTGTGCACATTGCTTTGCATAGAAACATAAGGTACACTGATCAAAATCAGCTCACGTGCACGTAGAGAGACGCCTCGTTTGTGAGACGTGCAGAGTCTGTCCTTTGAAGAACATCCTCAATGACCTCTCCTCTAGTTTCAGAGAAGCTGCGCAGACAGAGGGCTCCTCTCCCCGTGTGCAGCGCGTGTCTCATCATTCTGATCATTCTGTCAGTGTTTGTTTATCTGTCTGTCTGGGTGTTTCTTTCACTCCCGCAGAGCTGCAACAGGCTGGCTTCATCATGAAGACACGCTATGTCTCTTAGTTTGCACGACAGCAATGTGGTTGTAGTTACTACAAAGTTGCGTAATGTTTACAAAGTGCTTCCTGGTTTTGCATGTGACGTTGCTTGAAACCGGAAATACGTACATGTGATTTCCTCTTTGTGTGTTACACAGTGTGACCACACAGTGGCGCTGTTTAATTGTTTTTTACTGGCGTGAGAGTCACTTGTTCACAAACACACACCACTGTGTGTTACTATGGTCGGTTTGCACTTGTGTAAAATTTAAAATGCAAAATCTGATAAATTGGCAAAAGTGTAAATGCATGGTGAGTATTGAGTTTAAGTCAATCGAACATTTTCTGCATTTTCTCTCCTCTATGATGGTTAATAACTTCTCATGCACACTTTACTCATGTTAAATGCTCGAAATTGAAAAGCACATTAATTACATTTTCCAAAAAAACAAGACTGCATTTATTAATCTATATGAAAATATGTATTTTAAAACATAACATAACAATGCACCTGGTGTAAAGCTGATTAAAAAAACAAAAACACAATACTTCATTCATGTTGGACATTTTGCATGTGATTAGTTATTTTAAACACATGTATTTTTTGTAAACGTGACAACACATAAGGACACTAGCCTATATTTAGAAAATAAATGTTTGCTCTGCAGGATGAAACTACTTTAATTAGCTATTGATTGCTCTGAGGCCAGGAATAATACACTTTCTGGTTGGCTGGCAGTGAGATAGGCTTGCAAAAGTCACCTTTAAAATCAGTGTTTATATATTCATAAAATAATTTACTAATCAAGGTTACAGTTAATGAAATGTCGACATCCTTGTGAGGTAAGAGCCATATAGCTTTGCTGGTGGACCGACAACTCCTTAGTCTGTTCTTGTCCTCTTCAAATAATGACCTCCAATCAGTAGTGATTAACACTTGAGGGTTTGTTTTGATGATGATGATGATGACGATGATGATTATTAAAAAAAACACTTCAAAAATAGAAAAACACCTCATCCACCACAAAGAAAATATATAAATCCTGCTGTTATTTCACGCTCCAGTTTTTCCAAAGTACAAAGGTACATAACGCTGCAAATTATTACGAACTTTGAATTATTTAATTAGGGATGTCAATAAATGTTAATGTGGAATGTGCTCACTGCCAGCTTTTCACCCCTGTGGCCATTTTCCACCTAATATTAAATCTGATACCTATTACCTAATCAAGAGAGAGAGGGAGAGAAAGAGGGGGATGTGTTTTCATTCAATACATGACACAGTTATGGTGATGACCTCAGTCCAGTGAGAAGCTGCAAACTCTGTGAGAATCCAATTTGACAGAGCGAATCTGTGCTGTAAAATCTACAAAATGGATAAGAGGAAGAAAGGTAAGGTCACTGCATTACGATAAACAGGGGGTAAACAAATGACTCTGCTTCACTTTAACTAACAAAGCTAAAAAGCTGGGTTCACATCAGTATGGATGCGATTTATCAACCTTTACAAGAAGTTTTGGTTTTAAGCCAAGCAGCATGGCAGTGTCAGTTTGTTCTCAGTTTATGATCTAATATTTGTAAAACTAACTTGTGGCATTACCATTAGTCAGCCGTACTTTGTTGTGTGCTTATTAGCAACAGTTAGCATGGTGGGATAATCAGCATGTTCCGTTTGTGTTTATGTCAATAGCATTCAGCTCAAAGCACAGCCTCACATCATGGCTGTGGATTGTAGAGAAATCTTAATTAGCTACAAAAAAATTATCTGAATAAAATAGGATTGTTAGAAAAGCCTTAACCAATATAAAATTAAAATAAGAGCAACCAAACAAAAAAAAACAACCTAGTATGAGTTACTCTTTGAGTGTTAGAGATATGATTCATTGTCACTTAATGTGTACAATATGTCAGCCTCTCGTGCGACCTATTGCATATGAGATTGATGCACTAAACATGTTCAATAACACTGATACGTGTAAACAAATACACATTGCATACTGTATGTGTTGCTACTTCGATCTCACTTTCAACTGATCTCTTCACAGGATCTCCTACAGAATTAAGGCTCATGCTGATCAGTAGCTGTGGACCTTCGCAGTTCCTACTAACAAACTACATACTCGGGAGGGAGGCCTTTACTAAGGATATCACCAGTATTTCTGAATGCACAAAGAATACTGGAGTGCTGTCTGGTAGACGAGTGGCTGTGATCAATGCACCAAACATCTATGACAAGGGTATATGTCAAGTCAAAAGGGAGATGGAGCTGAGGAAGTCTAAGTGCTTATGCTCTCCTGGTCCACATGTCTTTCTTGTCACCTTTGACTTGGAAAAAATCTCCAAAAATGAAATGAAAACCCCCAAAATGATGATGGAGCGGTATGGAAGACACTGTCTAAGGCATTGTATTGTCCTCCTGGCCTACGGAGGAAACCTGGAGCTACCTGCCCTGGAAGACAGGGTGGAGAAGACTGACTGGCTCCTGAGAGATTTGATCGAGCAGTACGGCGGACGCTTTCACATTTTCAGCAAGAACTGGATGGATCGACGCTCGGACAGAGAGCTGCTTAAGAAGATAGAGAGGATGGTGGCGTCCCTGGGAGGGGCATTCTTCTCCAGCAGAACTTTCCAGAAGGCAGATGAATACGTTAAGAAGGAGGAGAAGAGGCTGAAGAAGCAGAGGCAAGGGGAAATAGAGAAGGCGTGGGTTGAGATGGAAAAGCAATACATAGCGGAGGAGCTGTACCAACAGAAGGATGCCTACATCGCAAATGTAGGCGCAGAGATCAGAGCCATGGCAGAGATGGACAACGGATGGCTCAGAACATCCCTGGCTAGAGGACTTGGGACAGGTTTGGTTGTGGGAGCTGTCATGGGGGCGCTGTTCGGGTCCATAGAGGGGCCAGGAGGGATGGTTCTTTATGGGATCATAGGTGGTGCAGTAGGTGGATCGGCCGGAGGAACAGCCCAGGTGGCTGTAGAACACATGGAGGACAGAGTGGCTCCTCCTGCCAGACTCAACTTCAACTCAATCTTCATCAATCGCTTCTTTGCAAACACTCGTCCCTGTTAGCATGCAGTAGACCAAGTATGAGTTTTACTAGCTTATGAAATACTTGAGAATTATGATTTTTTTTTCAACTTTGACCTTCTACCCCACACAATTTAAGAGGTAAATCTAAAACATTTTACTCCACTGCATTGGTCTTATATATTTAGTTACATTTCCAATTACAATTTCTCATACTTGTAACGTGTACTGTCCAGTAAACAAACAGAAAACTATTATCAGTAAGTGTTCCTTAAATGTGGGGTATGTAATTTATTTCAGAAATACTTGTTGTTATATTCCAATGCTCTTAACATCCCGATAGCAATGAATATATTAAATGCTTTGACAATAAATACATCAAAAAATGTCATCTGTGGAAGCCGTAGTGCTGTAAAAAACACGACCAATCATCTGAGCCGGCCCGGCTAAAATAACTGAATGGCCTACCTGCCTGTCAGCCTTCCATCTGTGCACAAACTTATCTCGTGCCCTCGTGCCCTCATTGGTCATGTGCGCGTTCGTGTGTGTTGGAGGAGGGGCTCTGTAAGGAAGTCTGAAGGAAGAGGCAGATTTTTCCGGTTCAAATTCTAGCGCACTCGAGCTGGTTTCTCCAAAATGACATACCCCACCTTTTAATGGTCTGAGAAAATAAGTCCTACTTTTTGGGAAAGATAATTGATCACAACACAGTGACACTATAATGAATAGTAAACAACTTTTAAAATGCATATATAATACATCAGCAATAGGAATAGGCAAAACATCAGAGTAAAACACTTCATAATGAATACTTTAGCTTTAAGTAAATGTAGCTGATAATACTTAGATATTTACTTTGCAGGATTTTACTTGGAATACATTTGGATACTTTTTTTCAACACTGTAAGCATGCTATTGACTTATTAGGACCTGTTTGTCAGGACTAAAGTGACAATAAAATATGATCTTCTCTTGTATCTACATGTACTATGTAAATCTGAACAACTCCCTTTTAGGTTGAAACTGGAACAAGACTTGTTTTATATGCAGCTGAGGGGAATAGTTCATGAATAACAAAAGTGAATCTAATGGCCGATTTAAACTGTAAATTAGTATTTTGGATACATTTAGTTTTAATTTTATTTGTGATAGCACACGTGAGAGTTAATTGTTTGATGGTCACATGACATTTTATTCAGCCTCTAACATTTCCTAGTGTCTTGCCATAGGTTAGTTGAAGAGAAGCTCAGATAACATCCAGGGCGGAGTTTCAACTGAGAGTGCCATTGTCTAAAGCACTACCTCTTTTCTAGACACAAAGACACACACACACACACACACACACACACACACACCCTAATGCACCTGTTGAGTGTAAATCATTTGCAGTCTCTACCTGAAACTTGGAATAGAAGCAGTGTGGTGTGGCCGCTGTGTTACCTGGACAAGATCGACTTTGAAAGGTAAGATCACTCTCTCCTGAGTAAATGTTTTAACATTACATTCAGTTTCATTTTTGGAAGAGCTGCCCTATTTTCTAGGAAATAAGACCAGATCAATCCTTCATGAATGTTTCAGAGGGTGTTTCCTTCTTTAATGTAGGAGTGCAATGTAATAAGGACTTAACATTTCAGTATTTGCTTTGTGTTGAGTTGTATTGTAGCTCTGGGTGACAAACAAATAGTGTATCACTACTTGTTTGACCACATACTTCCAGTATATATTTGAGCTGCTTCCGTTCTCTGAAAGCATATCTGTACTTGATCACAAATAAATACCTCTTGACACAAACATCTGTGACAATAACAATAAGAAGACAAGAGTAGGCTTCACTGTGGGGAGCTTTTCCACTGAATGAATGTAACTTCAGTGGATTAACAAGAAAAATCCCATTTCCTGTCCTTTGTGTATCATTGCATAACACGACAGGAGGGCAATCTTTAAGAACATGGCGTCCCATTTATCTCCGGAAAGTGCATTCCTTTCCTTATGCTTTAAAAGAAATGTAAGCAGTCACTGACAGGTGGTTATAGTTCAAGATGGAATATAATAATTTTTCCACAAGTGATGTGTTTTCAGTAAAATATGACATTGTTCAACTATTAGCTTTCCAATGTGACTGCTCTTTTCCATAACAAATTATATTTCCTCATAAAATGGGAATCCATTTCAGAGGTACAGTACAACATCGCCCTCAGCTTACTGGTTCTTTATGTTTAATCCAAACAAAACAATCCTTTAAGCGCAAGCTTATCTACCAAAGCTACCACAATAGCTTCCTCGTATACTTTGGTAACATGTCATTGTTATTTACAGGGTATGGCCTCTACAATTAGCCTCCTGCCCGAAAAGCACTTCTTGTGCTCTCTGTGTAGAGACATCTTCACCAGTCCAGTGACCATACCATGTGGACACAGCTTTTGCTTGTCCTGTCTCTGCCAATACTGGACACGACACCAGTCCAAATACTGCCCGCACTGTAGGAGGCTGTTCTCCGACAGGCCCGACCTCAGTGTCAACCACATTCTGGCTGAGGTCTCGGACAACTACAGGAAGACTCGGCCAGAGAAACCACCTGATGAGGAATTGGTACTTTATTGTGTTTTCAACATTATTAATTAATGATCTGCCGGGTTTTGAATTGTTTTATTTAAGAATTCAAGGTAACACAGGATGAGCTAATGGTGGTGAAGTATTCCTTCAATAAATATATCTGTGTATGCTTATATCCCACTTTTCTTTTAGCCTCTGAATGGTCTAAGGACATACAGTATGCCCCATAATTGTAAATGTGTGATGTTGCTTTATATACATTTATTTCTTTTTTTATTTCTTACAGGCTTTAAATGTTGAGCTAATGATTCAGGAAAGGCTGCAGAAAATAGAAAGGTTAAAATTTGCTCTTGAGCTTCAAAAGGTGAGTTAAACAACTTTAGATCTTTAAAATCTATGTTTAAAGCAAATGTGTTTAGTGTAATAATGCTTCATGATGATGTCCAATCAGAACTCTTACCTTAGAGAGGTGCGAGAGAGCCAGAAAGTCTTCTCTGCCCTCGTACATGCTATGGAAAAGAATCACAAAGCAGTTGTTGACGCAATCGAGGGAAGGCAGAGGGAGGAGGAGAAGAAAGTAGAAACACTGGTGAAAGAGATCGAACAGGAGATTCAGACGCTAAAGAAGGAGACCCCTGAACCTGATCCCCAGGTTCCTGGAAACAGTGAGCAGGGTGATGATACAGAACAAGTTACAGTGGTAAGCATCTTCACCTTCTTCTACCCATATAATCATAATGGTAACTGTGTACCATTAGTTAAAACTTGGTTTATTTCATGCAGACCATTGTTCCCACAATGAGCCCATCTGAGATGAAGGACTGGTCCAGGGTTACCATAGAAACTGACCCTTGTGTTGGGGTCACCAGACGAGCACTGGCAGACGTAATGGAAAAGATAAAGGTGGACGTCAATAGGCTCTCAAAATCTGGTGAGTAAGGAGACTATTACCTTGTCTATTAAGTCATTAAATGAGCATTCTGCTATAATCTGATGGTGTTTCTTATTTTCTTGTTTCTTCTCTTCTTTTACAGAACTTAAGAGAATAGAGAAATACGCAGGTAAGGCTTCATTTACACAGAAACAACGTCTACTCACATTGTTGATCACTGACACAAATGTTTGGTTTTACTCACAACGATAAGCGTGTTCAAAACTGCTACTACCACCAAGTTTCACTTTTGAAACGTGCAATTATTTTCTGTTTGCTCATTTGGCCCATCCAAATCATTAGCATATAAATGATAGCGACTGATAGCAGCCATTTAATCAGCTGATACCATGTTAGAGTTGAACCAACCCCAGTAGTTTCACAGTGCCAAGGATGTCAATGCTGTTTGACCTATATTGTTGACCTTTTGTCCTTTGTTTTTCTTAGTGGATGTCAATCTGAGCGCTAAGACAGCCCACCCCTTCCTCTCTGTCTCAGAGGACAGAAAACAGGTGAGACACACGGACAAGCTTCGGGAGCTTCCAGATAACCCCAAACGGTTCGACCGTGTGGCGAACGTGCTGGCCAAAGAGAGTCTCAGCGGCGGGAGATGCTACTGGGAGGTGGAGGTTGGGGAGAAGATCGAGTGGAGCCTGGGTGTTGTCAGACAATCGATAAACAGGAAGGGCAAGTTCACCGTGTGCCCTGCAAATGGTTTCTGGACTTTAAGCCTGAAGGCTGGCGGCCAGTTTATAGCCAACACCTCTCCTGTCACGCCGTTGGCTCTAGAGCAGAGACCCAGAAAGGTGGGCGTGTTTCTGGACTACACAGAAGGCCGTGTATCCTTCTACTGCGCAGAATCAGGAGTCCACATTTACACCTTCACAGATACATTTACCGACAGGCTTCACCCATTCTTCAGTCCTGGTCGCCTGCATGGTGGAAAAAACGATGCTCCCTTAATCATCTCTTCTAGTTTCTGCAGCATCTAAACTTCACACTTCTTATTTTATATTTATAAATCTCCAGTATAATTATTATAATGTGTTGTGATTATCTTTTCAGTTTCAATGAATGTGTCAAATATATTAATTTAATAACAGATCCATATGAACAATGAAATACATTTCCCTTGTCAGAACAGTGAACAAGAGGTTGCCTAAGGACTGACACCCTACACTCGAAAACTTCAATGAAACCCATGAACAGATTGAAAGGGAAAGAGGAGGGTAGAAGAAACAAAAAATCTTATAAATGAACAAGTGAGTCAAAGTCGCAAAAAGAGGAGAAACTGGGTGGCAGAGTTGGATGGATGCAGGGTTGGGACAGAGGTTGACGAAGAGCAGGGAAGGGAGGGCCGAGCCAAACAGCAGGGCATTGTGCTTGTACACCAGGCACTGGGAGACACACTCAAACACATTCACTCATTCACACACTTACATGGTCGTGCACACAAGCGCATGCTTCTGCCCACTGCCGCACAGACTTGCGCTGGCATCTCCGAGGGCAGCCCCATCTCCAGTCCAGTGCTGGGTGTCGAAGCTGATCGACCCTCTTCAGTTAAGCTGACCTCTGAGATAGAGCCTCCCCTGCTCTGCAGCCTTCCTGTGGACCCAACTGAATATCTCAGGGCCGTCATTCACAACTTTTGGCATCCAAACCCTCCACACAAGCAAAGGACCAGCAACAATAACCTGTGAACCAAGAGGAAGCGAGAGTCCGATAAACTTCATTGAGGTAATTATATTTTACAATATTCGTACATCTGTGACATTTCAAATATTAATTTCACAAAACAAACGATTCTATTGTATCTAATTCCTTATGTTTAGCTGTTTTGAAATTTGTATTTAAGTATTCTTGGTGTTGGAGCCAGGAGTTTAGCTCCTGCTTGCCACATTTCCTGAAAGGACTTTAGATAGGAATATGACTTGTTCAAATGTAATAGAAATCCCATCAGATGGGTATCAATTGATTGTACATTTATCTCAAAAAGGGTCTATTTGGTAAAGCTTATTCTTTTGGCATTTTTCCATCAATCCTTGTCATGGAGCAACTCCTGGATTTATTGAGCTGGGAGGGTTTGATTCATTGAATTAGTAAAATGTGGACAACTGAGAGCTGTAATAAAAAGATGACATAGGTTCTCCTGGCCCACTCCACAAAGCCTTCATGAAAGATGCTTGTGTTCAGAATCTCCTCATGTTTTTTCTGAGATAATCCACTCACCAGGCAAGGCGTAGCTCGACACCCACAGCTGTGTCAAAGACAGCTATTCTCTGTGGTCCTCACTGGAATCCACTAAACATGGGCCTTGCAACAAACATATTTATGATAAATATATGCTTTACTTAGTCCTTTCATGCTTCACTAATGAAATGCTTGTTGTTGTTGTTGTTGTTGTTGTTAGAAGTTAAAAGTTTGAAATAATTTGTACCTGATTTGTTGCACTGTATGTTTAAATTGGTTCCACCTTTTTTTTTGTAATTTCTGAATGTCAGGATACCTATCCTTGTCTCACCCAAGCTGAACTTCATCACCTGGAGACTGAGGACTGCAGTGGCGCACAACGTTTCCAGTACTGTAGACTGTCACATTTCATCGTGGGACTATATTATTAGTCCCTCTGCAACAAACAAAGACTGAAATAAAAACAGAGACAAATCCATCTGATTCAAACAACACCTTTCGCCATGGCAACCACGGGTATGCAATTGCTGGGCCTGATCATGTCCATTGTTGGGTGGGTCGGTGGGTTTATAGTGTGTGTCATGCCCCTGTGGCGGGTCACTGCCTTCATCGGTAACAACATAGTGACGGCACAGATCATTTGGGAAGGTCTTTGGATGAATTGCATTGTTCAGAGCACAGGTCAGTTCCAGTGTAAGGTGTACGACAGCTTGCTGGCTCTGCCCAGTGACATGCAGGCTGCCCGAGGCCTCACTGTGCTCTCCATCCTGATGTGTGGCCTGGGTCTAGCTCTAGGGGTCCTGGGAGTCAAGTGCACCAAGTGCATTGGCGTAAGCAGTAGCAAGGCCCGTATCGCTCGTATCTCTGGCGCCATTTTTGCGATCGCAGGTTTCCTCTACCTAGTGCCCGTCTGCTGGACTGCCCACTCCATCATCAGAGATTTCTACGATCCACATGTCGCAGCCCCTCACAAGCGTGAGCTGGGCCCTGCCCTTTACATCGGCTGGGGTGCATCAGCCTTGCTTCTCATTGGGGGGTCTCTGATCTACACTGGGTCAAGCCCCCCTGGCCTCCCAGGCTCTCCCACCTTCAGCAGTGGAGAGAGTAGTCCTCGCAGGGCACCCGCCAGCCAAGTCAAAGGTTATGTTTGAGTTTCCAAAGTTTCTGAAAGCCTTCAAGTTCCACAAATATACCCCAAATGATGACCAACCCATATTTCTCTTCTTTTGATCTTGCTCCTTGTAATTATTTTATATTTAATGTTATTCCAGTTAGTTTTTTTCTCTCTGAAAAGCCACAGGAGGCTGTTTAGGGAGAATTGAACTTATTTTATTATTTCATATCTGATATCCTTCAATAACCTTGTTCTCTGTCTGTCACTGTAAAATACAATAAACGTTTTTGGTCCTCTACTGAGGGAAATGGTGTTTTTTCACATTTTTAGATAAGAAATCTTATTGTGTGAGAGTAGTAGTTTTAAATAAAAATCTTTGTTTTGCTCCTTTGTTTAAACACTACTAGGGGTTCCGCTGAGTGGAGAGGAACAATAGAACAATGGAGATGTGTGTACATTTGCTTGTGGTGCCATATTGTTGTGCGTCGTCCTCTATCTCCTATCTTCCATCTCCTTTTCCCTGCCTCGGCTACCCGTACCAGGGACAAAGAAAAACAAATTGTCTTTCTTTCTCAACATATAAATGGTATACCTTTCATTAACAGCTCTCATAGTACAAGTTATTGCGGTATCTCAGAGAACCTCCCACTCTTTGTCAAAAACACATTAGTCAAGAATTTACTGATATTGCTAAAGATGACATCCAATCACCTATCTTGAATATACAAAAAGTTATGACATTGAGTTAAATACAGATCAACACAGAATGTACAAGTTTGTAATACATGTGTGCGTGCCTATCTGTCAGTGTCTCTCTGTGTGAATGCATTTTATGTGGGATGTTACCAACCACAGTGGAAAAAGCATCATCTTTATTCATGAGACATTGTTCAGATCCCTCGGATTCTGTGCTCCTTGCTGTGAAATTATAACATTAAATACACATCCAAAGAGAGTTTCAAAATTCATTTTCACTTAATTTAAACCATTAGATAACCTTATAGTTAGCACACTGCATATTCTGATATGAAATGCTGAATTGTCATACTTTTCCAATCTAGCATATCATCATTAACTGCATATAAAATATACCCTAGTATTTCCTTTATAATTGATGTAAACAATGAAGCGTTTTTTTGTCCGTCTCTAACAGCAGAGGACAGAGCAACACAATGCCACATTATAAAGCACTACAGCACCATGATAACAATGGGCACCAGTGTACCAAGTGCCAGGTAGTGACTCATATATGACCTAAGCAGGCCTATACTAATGTAGAGTAGTGAATACAGTAAGGCGGACTGTGCTATTTTACTGAACAATGTAACGGGAACATTTTGATTAAGACAAATGCACTATTTACATTGTAAGTAATCAGTGCAGTGGGTAAAAGAGCTAAAAAAGGTTTGTTAAAAGCCCACTTATAGTAATAATGTATCATACAAGTGTACTAATAAATCATTAATGATATAATTCTTAGTGAGGTAAAAACCCCTCGACATCAATACTCCAGCTGATGAAGATATTATGTTCTACATAAAATAAAACCTTGTATTAAGGGCACTGTCAGAGCAATGGTTACAGGTTTAAAGGGAGAAAGGGTTTGCTTCAAATAAAAAAAGTAAAAAAGAGATGTAAAGCCAAGGGTGGAAATAGTTCTATTTTTGAATGTAATTGAACTAAACTAAAAAGTGTACATTGTAACAATAAACATATTAACCAATATTTTAAAAAAACCTAAGGCAAGATTTTTCTGGAATTACAAAATGTATTACATAAACTGGCTTAGACATTATATAAGTATTGTATTATCAATGCAATGAAGGTATTACACTTTACATTCTTCTTTTTCTAATCATTAAAACGTACAGAGGACATGTCATTTTCTAAACATAATATATTCCACAAAAAATGACATGAAAATAAACAGCAACACAATTAATAAGCATTTGTGAAATAAGTTGTGACACATTTCCCTTGAAACCTGCTGTTTTTTATGTAGGCTTATTGTCTTTTAATATTTTTGATTTTATGTTTTGCATTATGTATTTGTAGCCTATCTGTTCTGTATGTGCATCTATGTTTTACCATAACTATTGTATATAATGAATTTGTCAATTAAAACAAAAATAATAGTCAACATTATATACTGTAGCACATTTTAACAGGAGTCTTACTTGTTGTTGCATATATGAGTCGCTAGAGGGAGACATCCCTCCATGTTGTTGTTTCTGCGGCGGAAGTGGGAAGTAGGAAGAGCTGCACAGCTGTGCTGCTTCGTGGCTAACAGAGAGGCTAACAGAGGAGCTAACCTCAGCGGTGAATATACCAGGATCCGTTCACTAAACAGGACGCCTCGACAGCTACTGAGAGACTCCGAGTCCAATATGGGAAAAGGTGGAGGTACCTTTGAAAGGCTTCTTGGTAAGTTATCATCAGACTTGTTAAGTTAATAGTATTAGCCAACTGTAAGTCAAAGTGCGATGTTTTCCAGCGTATTGTTTTGACAGACGCTGGGCTGTGGCTCAGTCTCAGGCCAGCTAATTTTAGCCTGCTAACAATTCACTCCTATTGTTTGGAGGCCCAGGGAGACTTAACTTAGCAACCCGATTATTTAAGTAACGAATACCATCTCATTAGACCCTTATTTTTGCTTTATCTCTAATCAAATCTGCGTTACCTTATTATCTCCGTACTATCAGCCGGTTAATCCATGTTGTTGGTTTTCTTTTAGGTTCATGTTCATGTTCACACACGATCAAATGTTAGCTGGTGAATAACGTCACTATAACTGATGACATGGCTCTTCCAAGAAAGCCAAGCAGCCCAACACAACATTGTTATATAATTTCTGAGATAACAAACTTTATGTGTTGTTTTAAGTTTTTTTAAGTCAACAACAGGTTGATTAGCTAGCTTCTAATCGGCTCCCTGTGTAGATAAACCTTACCTTGAATAAAAGACCTCCCATTAACAGCGCTGGTTAAGGTCACTTTAGAAGATGGCTAATTATCTTAGCCTACACTACCACTAGCATAGGAAATAAACTACTGTGTCATTGAAATGTCTAAAATGGAAATTCACACGAGATAACACCAATATCTTAATTTGTAATAACCAACTGGGAGACAACACTAACACACTGTGAACATGCCTTTAAGTTGATACTGATGGCCGAGGTAAAAAAAAAAAAAAAAGCTAGTGGCCCTCGGGTGATAAACAACCCTCTTTGCATTTTTCAAATTTCCTATTTGTGTCATTTTGGCTCCTCAAACTAGATGTTGACACAGGGCCTCAACATTAAAATAAACATATTCAAACACATTTAAAATAACAGCATGTTTCAGTTGAATTTAGTTTTTTCCCCTCGTAAAATCATACAAACAATCATGGTTGTTTGACATACAAATGAGGGTATTTTCTTATGACACAGTAATTACTGTAAAACTATTCACTAGAGAAAACATCACTGTTTGACTGCATAAATTCAAAAGCACCCTTAAACAGACATATGACATGTTTGTATAGTGATACACTGTATAAATCCAACAAAATGGAATCACCTTTACATTTTACACAATATATATCAACTTCACCACATATTAAAGCCTTCAAAATGATTACAAAGGCGATTCAGTTCCTATCTAAAACAGTTCTAACAAAACCTGCATTTTATAACCCCAGGGTTTATTACAGAATGTCTCACTTTGGATGCTGTCGGTGCGTATCTAATAAACTGAGTGTGTAGATATAATTCATATCTATATAAAAAGCAGAAGAACATTGTTTTCATTAAGCATCTTTATAATACATCTAGGAGTGTAATGAGGAGAATGCAATGCCTCTTAAGAAATGTTGGTTTGGTGTAGCAGAGACTCTGTAGTACAGAATACATATGTTATCACCATTTGTATGGTTGCAGATAAAGCCACCAGTCAGCTGCTGCTGGAGACTGACTGGGAATCCATCCTGCAGATTTGTGATCTCATCCGACAAGGAGATGCGCAGTGAGTGATTCTGCCCACTTCCCTTCCCTCTATATTTCATATCAATAGTGGTAGTTGAATGGCGCTAATTCCCAAAGGTTTTATTGCTTTTGTTTCGTTGCCGAGTTTATTTATTGATTATTTTCTGTTGAGCAATATTTTTATTTGATCTTGCAGAGCAAAATATGCTGTTGGGGCCATCAAGAAGAAGCTTAGCGACAAAAATCCACATGTGGCTCTCTACGCACTTGAGGTATGTACAGCATTTTGATTGTTAGTGTGCTGTTTGGACTTTTGGGTGAACTTTTGATATTTTTATGGATGAAAGGCAGTGTGTATTTCCTGCAAAAATGAATTGACTGTTGATGCACTTAGGAAAGACTCTTGAGTATAGTTGTTGGGAATACATCACTAAAAGTATAACTGCTGCCCAATGTATATTATTTGATACATTTTCTAATAATAATAATGCATTGTATTTATAGAGTGCTCTAAAAAGACACAGTGAACACTGTGATTTGAACCTGGTTCCCCTTTCAAGGGTTCAAGGTTCTTTATTGTCAAACTAACATAGCTAGAGTAATTATGTCGTTGAAAATCTTAGGTCACAGGCTTCTCCAACAATGTAACACAATAATACACCAACAATGAAACACATGAGNACAATGCAACACAATAATACAGATAAGCAGACAATATTAAAGTATATTATATTAAAAGTAATACAAAAAAGAAAAAGAAATTTTTTTAAAAGTGAGGGGAAAAAAAGTGGAAGTGCAATACAAGTCTATATACAAGTTATTGGAATGATATATTAGATAAATAAATAATTACTAAGTAGCAGATGAATGCAGCAATAGAAGAAGTATCATCAGTCACTGTTAATCATCATGCTTTAGCAATAAGGATTTCTGATCTGTCTTTCCAAAAATGGTTCTTTGAATGATCATGTGACCTCACCCCTCAGGTCCTGGAGTCAGTGGTGAAGAACTGTGGCCAGACAGTCCACGATGAGGTGGCAAGTAAAACAACTATGGAGGAGCTCAAGGATTTACTAAAGGTGACCTTTGTTCTATGCATTTCCTGCACTTCATCATTCTGCTCTGTTTAGTTTCCAATGTACTTTTTACAAATCTGCTTCCTTCAAACATACCACATTTAAATGAACATCTCATGAGTTCTGACCAACCTCAGTCACGGTCAATACTTTCTTTCCATTGTGAAGCTGAATTTGCTGACAAATGTCATGATTTAGAGCTGTAGTTAAAGATATCTTTTTCTATCAGTTATTCTGTTTAATTCATTGTCAGATTAATCGACTAGTGTTATCTTAGATGTTTTGTTTTTGTTAAAACGATGGTTAAAACCCAAAGATAGTCAGTTAACAATGATATCAAACATAAAATAAGCTCAAAATCCTTAAAAAAAGATATTGTGGTTGATGAATCCACTAAATATTTGCCATTTTTGGTTGATAAAGAAATCATTCTTTTGGGTAATCAACTGTTTGTTTAACCAAATCTTGTACAATTATATCTAAATAACATAATTGCAGCTTTAAGTAAACAGGCAGTTGACAGTTTCTATACAGTATCTTTGTTGCCCTGTGTGTTACATAGACAGTGGGATCTGTCTGACTATATTTATGACAAGGAGCCACATCACATCACATCAGGCAGCTGGCTGCACTGCAGCGTGAGCTAGCACTATTTGATTGGACCTTTGCTGTATCATGTGACACAAGCTCCTCCTGCCCTGACGGTTTCCACTTCCTGATGATGTCATAGCCTTGTGACATGAGGCTTTTTTCAGACCATAACAAGGGACTTCCCACCTCAGCTCTCAAAACATGTTGTTTGCCTCAGTTTGTGTTGGAGGAGCTCAGTTATAACAATGTTTTGACAGATCCCAAATGTAGAATATGAGAAGGGTTCATAGAGCAATAATACAAGAAGGATTTCAAAGTGAAGAGACTTGTTTTCACTGTGTGGTTCCTTCACCACCAGACACAGACGGAGCCAAATGTCAGAAACAAAATCCTGTACCTGATCCAGGCCTGGTCTCACGCCTTCCGCAACGAACCCAAATACAAGGTGGTCCAAGACACCTATCAGATCATGAAAGTGGAAGGTAAGCAGACACACGCTATATCCCATCCAGCTGGCCTCAAGGGAAGCCTAATATTCTTTGAAAATATAAAACCCAGATAAAAGTTCCTCATCCGGTCTTAGCACCTACATTTGTATATTTGTGGTATTACAACTACATAAATCTCAGGAATATGCCTAAAATATAATATGTTCTTGTGTTTCATTGGCACAATCACTCATGTAAGCTAAACATATTTTAATTTTTTTTAATGAATAATCCTGTCATCGTATCTGTTGTCACTTGGCGTCTCACACACGGGAAAAGGGGAGCCAGCTAAGCATTACATAATAATGATCAAGACATACAGTCAAAGTTAATACGGACAGCTGGTAAATAATGAAAATGTTTTCTGTATAGCAAAATCATTTGGGGAATTGCATTTATTATAACAATTCAGGATTAATGCTTGACATGGGTGCTTTATCATGTATCATTGTTAACTGTTGTTGTGCTGCCAGTGTACTGCTACTGTACTAATAGTTTCATACTGTATGTTTAACACGCATGTTTCCCACTTATTTTCTTACAGGTCATGTGTTCCCTGAGTTTAAGGAGAGTGATGCGATGTTTGCAGCAGAGAGAGTAAGACATGTTGTGTTTCTTGTTCCACTGCTGTGTAGTTAGTGACTCTGACTGAATTGCGTGGTGAATATACACCAGAATGTTGGATGCTTGCCATTTCCACTGAACTAATGGGTAGAGAGAACGACTTGCTGCAGTGGGCATATAGTATCTAACACTTGTCTGCTTTGTCCAGGCCCCGGATTGGGTAGATGCCGAGGAGTGCCACCGGTGCAGAGTCCAGTTTGGGGTCATGACAAGAAAGGTAGGCGGGGCTTTCTTTAAACTACGGCTCTTGGAGAGTGTTAAGTTTCCTTCATTCATTTACAGCACATTGTGTATGTTTATAGCGCATGTGCGGAAGTTGATCTCAATTTGTGTTCTTTGTTTTTCCAGCACCATTGTCGAGCCTGTGGCCAGATCTTCTGTGGCAAGTGTTCTTCCAAGTACTCCACCATTCCCAAGTTCGGCATAGAGAAGGAAGTGCGTGTGTGTGAGCCCTGCTTTGAGCTGCTTAACAAGTGAGTCCCCGACGCTGGTATGGTATGGTAGTATGGATTTCCTTCTCAGAGTTTGAATTAAAGTGTCATATCTGTAGAGGACTTCATTAGCTACGGTACACTGGCATTGTAAATCATTTACTTGCTCTCAATCCTAAGCATCATATTGTTGATATGTTCCTTAACTTATTCTGTTTACTTCTTCCACCAAGGAGGTCCTGTTTTTGGCCCTATTGTTCTGTTCTATCTCAATCTAGTTTTGTTCTTTTAATGTTCACATTAGATAACCTGACAAAATAAATTGTTTCTTTTAATATGCCAGCTTTTTATAACTGCTTGTATGACCAACATGCTTTTGATTGGCAAACTCATTTTCAACGTGTATATCTACTGTGAGCAATGCTTCAAAATTACTTTTAGCAATGTGAACAATTGAAATGACCATCATTTTGTAGTAATGGTTCTGACTGACTGACCTAAACCTTTTTAAAACCTGAACATGACTCTGCTTAAGCATCTGTGTTTTGATGATGATTCAAAGACACATCTGATTTATCATAATAGCCCATGTAGAAGATGTTGCATCATTTTCTCTGTAGAGATCTCGGTGTCTCAAGCAGCAGAATTCTCTCTCCTAATTGACACGTTGCTTGTCCTCCCTGTCCCTTCTCTTTCCCAGCCACCCCTCCCTCTCTCCTCCTCTCAGGAAAGCTGAGGGGAAAGCCCCCACCCCAAGTGCAGTCGAGCTGCCTCCTGAGTACCTGACCAGCCCGCTGTCCCAACAGTCCCAGGTAGAAGTGGAAAATGTAATGGCATAGTCATTCTGGTTACTTTTGAAATAAATGTATATATGATGTTTTGACACATTTTCTTGTTCTTTGTGCACTCACCCTGCACTGTATTTGAATGATTTTGTTCCACCATCCGTTAATGGATTTTGTGTGCTGTTTCCGGGTCTGCTCTCTCACCAGATGCCCCCGAAGAGAGACGAGGCCGCTCTGCAGGAGGAGGAAGAGCTGCAGATGGCCATCGCCCTCTCCCAAAGCGAGGCGGAGGAGAAGGAGCGCATGGTGGGTTGCACAGCTAAAACTCTCATTTGTATTTTTTCATCCTGTTTATAGACAGAAACTCATTCCTACATATATGTCTTCTTACAGAGGCATAAGAGCTCCTACTCAATGTATCCCAAAGCTGATCCCACTCCAGTGACTTCCTCAGCACCGCCTGTCAGCACCCTCTACACCTCCCCTGTGGTAAGACTCCTTCCCAAGCTGCCTTTCTCTCTGGCAAACTGAATTATTTACCCACATGTGTGTTTCATCACTCATCAATGTGATCAATATGCTTTCTCCAGAACTCCTCTGCTCCGTCAGCTGAAGATGTTGACCCTGAGGTACTATGATGTGCTATCTCTCTCTTTTCCTACACCCATATTAAGATATACTACTATAAATGTTGCAGTGTGTTCATAATACTGATGGTAGCATTTCACAATCTTCCAGCTGGCCCGCTACCTGAACAGAACCTACTGGGAGAAGAAACAAGAAGAGGCTCGCAAGAGTCCCACCCCCTCAGCCCCGGCCCCCGTGCCTCTGGCTGAGCCCGCTCCACCCATCAGTCAGCCGGTAGAAACTCATGTCCCTGTGCAGCCAGTCAGCATAGTGGAGGTATGTTGTAACTCTGAGTTTAAAGAAAATGTGTGTAGTACCATTCTTTACGTCTATCTAGGGCTGCTCGATTATGGCAAAAATCATAATCTCGATTATTTGGGTCAATAATTGTAATTGTAATTATTCATTGACTTTGAAAACATCCATTTATTGGAGGATTTTTTTTTTTGAACAGTATGTTTTTAACTGTTGATTAACCTGAACTTTAAGTATAATTTTACTGAAAAAAAAAAAAAAAAATGTATTAAAAAAAAAAGTAATAAAAATATTTATTTATTTCGATTACGTTGTTTTCGTAATCGTTGCAAGCCGTAATCGCGATTTAAAATACGATTTTAATTGAGCAGCCCTACGTCTATCTAAACTTGAATGTGCAGACAACTGACTTCCTGTGCTTTGCCTCCCGCTCGTCCCCACCTTCAGCAGCCCTACCAGAACGGGGAGTCGGAGGAGAACCATGAGCAGTTTCTGAAGGCTCTGCAGAACTCTGTCACCACCTTCCTTAACCGCATGAAGAGCAACCACATGCGTGGGCGCAGCATCACCAACGACAGCGCTGTGCTCTCACTCTTCCAGTCCATCAACAACATGCATCCTCAGCTGTTGGACATCCTCAACCAGCTGGATGAGAAGCGATGTGAGTGTGCATGAAGTCATGTTTACCAATTGAATCTCACACATGCTTATCGTTCAGTCTCTGACCCACCACATCATGTTTGTTGTCCGCAGTGTATTACGAGGGGCTGCAGGACAAGTTGGCTCAGGTGCGAGATGCTCGGGCCGCCCTCAACTCACTGCGGGACGAACACAGAGAGAAGCTGCGCCGCGCCGCCGAGGAGTCAGAGAGACAGAGGCAGATCCAGCTGGCTCAGAAACTGGAGATCATGAGGCAGAAGAAACAGGTACTGAAATGAGCCTCTCCACTTATAATGCCCATATTGTTAGACTATTCATTATCATGCTCACAAGTGTTTGTCTTTGATCTGCAGGAGTACCTGGAAATGCAGAGACAGCTGGCCATTCAGCGCCTCCAGGACCAGGAGAAGGAGAGGCAGATGCGTCTGGAGCAGCAGAAACACACAATCCAGATGAGAGCACAAATGCCTGCTTTCTCTCTGCCATACGCCCAGGTACACACCGCATGCTCCATGGTCAGCTGTCAGGCTAATTCACTGCTGTGCACAGTACCTTTCATTTCATTGGTCATGTTTTCACATTCCAATGAAAAGTGACTAAGACAGAATATTCACCTCTTCATAAGTATGTTGTTGAGTAAATGTCTGATATTATATGATTGTGCTGCAGATGCAGTCTTTGCCCTCCAATGTGGCGGGAGGGATGGTGTACCAGCCTGGTGCTCCACCCAGCTACCCGGGCACCTTCAGCCCTGCTGGTTCTGTGGAGGGTTCACCTATGCACAACATCTATATGAACCAGTCAGGGCAGAATCCACCTCAACAGTACCAGGCCATGCCCAATGTTGCCCCAGGTGAGGATATGTGCTTTTGATAGCTTAAGAAATAAAAAAATATTCTATTATTGTTTGCCTGACTGCAATATATTAATTTACAAATGATACTCAAGTGTTTTTAAATCAAGTGTCCTTCTGTTTCTGAATGATTGTCTTCTTTCCCAGATCCAAATATGGTTAATGCATACATGTACCAGGCTGCAGGCACCAACGGGCAGCCTGCTCCTCCTCCCGGTCAAGCTCCGCCCACTACAAGTCCTCCTTACTCCAACTATCAGCCCACACCCACACAGGGCTACCAGGTAAGAATCACTCCCAGTTAAAAGCAGAAACGGAGCGTTTACCAATCTCTTTTCTGTTTTATTTTATACCAACTGCACACAACACACTGTATTTGTTTTTAAATACATAGTGCAATGATACATAGATGATATGCATTCAGCTTTTTCCTGTAGAATACGCATAATTCAATAATTATTGAACTGTTGCAAACTTATATTGTTGCAAGTATGAATCATGTTGTGATATTTTGGCAGCTGAGTAGTTTCGTGTTGTTTCATTTTTCATAAAGCCTACTAACTGTTGTCCTCTTTTCAGCAGAATGTGGCCTCGCAGGCACAGAGTTTGCCCCCCATGTCGCAGCCTGCTCCCACTAACGGTATGGGCTACATGGGCTACCAGCCTTACCCCATGCAGAACATGATTTCAGCATTGCCAGGACAGGACCCCAACATGCCTCCCCAACAGTACATGCAAGGACAGCCGCCCATGTACCAACAGGTCAGCTCCTTTTCTTTTTTCTCAGCCACCAGCAGTAGAGCTGCAATGATTAGTCGATGAAGAGAAAAATGTTCAGCGTCTTAGATATGGAGATTTACTGCTTTTCTAGTTTTTATGTAAAAATAAAGAAGACGAAGACATCACCTTTGACTTTTGGACACTGGTTTGTCTTCTAAACAGATATAAGCAGCGCTATCTCAATGATTTTTGGGTGTTTTTACTTATTTTAAAGGTTACTTTAAGCCAAATCTTAATTTGTATCCATATGAACTTTATTTTCTTACTAGGTGCCCCCCCCTGGAGGCCAGCAGCAGCAGCAGCAACAACATCAGCAGCAGCAGCAACAGCAGCAGCCGCAGCAGCAGCAACAGCATGTTCCTCAGGCTGTGCCCGGCAGTGCAGAGGCTCAGCTCATCTCCTTCGACTAAAAGCCTGCAGGCTGCAGTCCCACACACTACACCCTCTCCTCTCCTTCACCTCACTTTCCGGACTCTCTGCCCCCTGGAAACACACCCCCCTCACCTCCGACCTTGCTGTGATGTTGTGGCAATGTAAAATATTGTGATGATGTTGCAGAACTCTCTCCCTCTTTGCATCACCTCCATTGAAGAATGGAAATGTCGGGTGACGCTGCAAAAAGAGGGCACCATAACCCCGACCCTTTCGACCTCTTCTCCCCTCTTTCCTGCTGATATGTATGTCGTTTTTCCTTATTAAATGAATAACTGAAGCTCAGAAATAGTCAGTGGTGTCAAGGTAAACAAAAAAAAATGAATAAAAAAATATAATAATTGAGGAGAAAAAAGGACAAGACATAACCAACCATCCTTTGTCTCATATTTTTCTAAATCAAAACTGTGCATGTTCAATTTTCATTATTTTATGGAATGGAAGTGAATTGCTGCAACTACCGAACAGTTTGGGCAGTGATTGAGAAAAGCTGTCTTTAAGAGATTGTGGGTGTGAGGATAAAGGGGGATGTCAAGGGATAGGAAATAAATGGCACTAACTCACATCTCCGCCAGTTCGCCATTCCAGCTGAACTAGTTTTATTTCCATCCGTTCTCATGAGCACACAAACTAGGGTTATCTTCTACTGTTTTGGCATTTTATTCGTTGTGCACTGCTTGGAATTTCGGATGTCGTAATGTAGTTTCCTAAATGACAACTCGTTGCAGGGATTGTACATTGTATGAAGAGTGTCTTAAAATGACTTGGGTGGTTGTTTAATCCCCAATAAATATATACTTTCATATAGTTTAATAATTGAAATGACTTAACTAGTGACTAAAAAATTTACTAAAGCTATACAGTAACTCTAATACATCTGTTTATTAAAATGATTCGTGTTGCCGATGATACAGCACCGTCACAAGATAAGACCAGACTGAAAGAACCATAGGACTTCAAACCTAATCATAACTGCAAAGGGCCTCTTGGCACCCATCCTAAGAGCAAATGTCCCAGATCATAATATACATAGTAAGTACAATTGGGGACTCTTTTCTAAAGTGTACTCTGCTCTCAAACAAATGTGGAATTGCTTGCTGAGGGAAAATGATGTGCCGCATGTATGTATGTATGTATTCAGTTGCCATCTGTGAACTTCTTTATTCCATCATACTGATCTGTCTGATTTTAAAACTATATTTAATAAATATCTGGTTCTTATTGTCCACTTTCTTTATCGTCTTTGTAACTTTCCATAGGATTGTGTTCCATGTCATATTCAAACATGTTCCAATAAGAGGGGTAAAGGCCATAGCATTACATGGACTCACGATGAAAAATAACGTTTTGTTTTTATTCTTCAAGCTGTTTGGTTCTTCGCAAGTTTTCTGAAGATGAGGCATTTGTAGAATTCTTCCATCTCAATCTGAAAATTTGAAAAAATAAATGTTTAAGTAATTCATTGTAGTTGTATTAAAATATAGATACCGCAAGCTACAGAATGTGACTCACAATCCGCTCCATACGCATCTCGTTCCCATAGGCCAACTGTCTCAACACGTCGATATCTGGAAGACCCCACTCTGGATTCCTGTGTAACAGCATTCAATAAGTATTTACTCTAGACATATTGTTGCCATGTTGTACTGGAGGGAAAAAACGGCACTCACTTTTGTCGAATCTCTGCATCCAGGTGTTCGTTACAACTTGGTGTAATGATGCCATTAATAGCATACACCTAGAACATGTTTAGGATTGTTAAAGGTCTCAATTCACAGTTTCATGGTGACATATAGCCATTCTGAGTGCATAATAAACGTAATGACTAAAGTACTTACCCCGTATGTAATCAAAAGACCATTTTGTCGAAGGATCTTCCCTGCTCCATTGAAAACACCCTTGGAAAATAATCAGAAAAATGAACGCTATATTTTGATCATTTTGAGATCTGTGTTTTAATCATGTTTTTGTTTAGGTAATCAGACGCACCTGTGCCGTTTTGAAGGAGCTGTATTGCAGTAAGTTGATGGCAACAACAACATCACAGGAGTTGTTAGAAAGGCCTGCCCATTTCTCCCACGGCTCGCTGGCATCCAGGTGAACAGGCTGCAGCACATTCTTTGCATGGGTTGCAGCAATATATGCCTTAATACTGTAAATGAGTATGCAGAATTAAGCTTACATTTTGTTTGTAAAATCACCTTTTAATATATCTCTTGCTGTTATTTCAGATCTGTTTTTTGGTCAGGAATATAATAAATTAATATATGAAAAAAATGTTCTAACCTGGAAAATGCGGGATTATTTCAAAATAAAATATTAAAAGTAATGCACCTTATACTAACACTTGACGTAGCCACAAAAAAGTTACGTTTCACGAATATCCTTTCTCAAAACTGTTTCAGTGCAACAAAAAAAAGAGGCATTGAGCATTCAAAGTTGGCCAAATCAAGTTATCCTTATCATTGTTAATCCTAAACATTACTGGCAAAAACTACAGGTGTAGCCTACTGTGCGAGCAAAAATATCAGAATACTTTTTTCTATAAGGCACAAACCTGTCCCTTGACTCTTCATTAATGTCTGATGGCTGCCAGGTAACAAAGGGCATCTTCGGGGCAAAGCGTATGACGTGCTGCCCAGTTCCAGAGCCCAGCTCTAAGGCAAACAGCTGCCTGTGGGACTGGTCATCCAGCACCTCTTCAAGCACTAAACACAGATCCTCCCAGTTCCTCTCCGCCAGAGGGGAAAGCAGCATGGTCTGTTGGAGTAAAACAGAAGGACATGTTACCCTGTCATCTTGTATTTCCAGCCTATGCAATGATATTCTGTCTCAGAGGATTCCTCTTACAATAACTTGTGCTGGTTGACAGAGACTAGCATGGCATTGTGGAGGCTGTTTGTGGTTTATGAATGTGACAGCAGATGGGTACAGAGATTACCTGGTTAAGAGGATTCCCTATGTGCTCATCCCCGGTGTTCAGCACTACACTACAGGTAGGACAGAGTAAACACAGGGAGAAATCAATTAAGTCTGTGTCTGAAGAGCAGTCAACATGAACACGTCATGAAACGTGGTATCATATTGTCATGTGCTTTATCATATTGAACCCGAATGTGTTTGAATCATGAGTTTTCATTACAAATGTGTGGTCATAGTCATGACAAGATACAAAATCTTAAAATATGCTAAGAATGCAAAGGTAAGAACAGAACCAGACTGAATTTACCCAATTTAACAGGAGAGCAAAAACAACAACAACAATTCCCTGACTTTATTTAATAAATCCAGTATTTATTTTGATTTCCATTTGGCAATTTTAAAATTATGAAACTTCGTTTATGATCAAAAACAATACTATAAATTAAATACTGCTGAATATGCAGCATTATTAGCATTTTCTTTTAAAATGTTTTGAGCTTGTTAGTGATAAAAAAAACATTATTTTTTTAGCTCATAGGTGCAATATATTTTCAATGTTTGATTTTTAAGTAATCCAAAATTATGTGTGATTAGGTGACATTGCTTTCAACCAATGAATTATGTTACTTACTACAACAAGTAGTAATTTGTTCTCAGGAACTGCATCATTTCAGACTCACCTCTTCCGAAAATACGTGTATGTAATTAATGCAGGTAGTATTGATGAAAGTACTTCCTTTGAATAAACGTATACACCTCTAAAGAGTATTACTTTAATCTGTACAATGTCAGCATTACATGTATTTATATATGGTTTCTTTTGTCCCTCCACGGTTCCCGTATTTTTCTTTAGCAGGTCACGACTCCCGCAATGCATTGCGGGTAGGTCAGGATCGGAAAGGACGACATGTGCTTTTGAGGCAGAGGGACTGAGAAGAGACAGCGAAGTGACAGACTTGTTTTATTTTTTAGGGACACCGGAATATACGGCTTCAGTTACCGCAAGCATGTACTGCACCAGACGCTGCCTCCGGACCGCGCTGCGGGCTGTGGCGACCACTCAACGGTACGTAACGTTACAGAGCAGCAGCCAGTCTGTCACGTAACACCGGCAGCGGTTAACGGTACATCAGGGTCTGACTCCCTGCATCTTCAAGGACAGACAGCCGGTGACTGCTGCCGGTTATTCTTGATGTAACACATGCATTTGTCACTGTAGTTTGTCTGAATGCTGAAGATGCATGGCTGTAAAGTCCGTAGCAATGCGCTAAGTAAGTCAGCTAGCGTTAGCTTTAGCCAGCAGTGACTTAAACCTTACAACCTTAAACTGCTTTAACACAATAGTAAGCATTTAGTCGCATTAAGAAGCGTTGTCCTCGTCTTAAGTGTGGTTGTAAAATCTAAAAGTAGCAGCAATTTGACATTTTCTTCCGGCTAACGTCACCAAGGTCACACTCGTGTGCCTTGTAATTCGTGTTTACGATGGTCAAATAACCGCAAGCTGCATCTCCTTAGTAAACACGAATAACAGGTTACATTATCAGCGATCAACCGTGTGCAAGTGCAGCCAACAAAACTATCAGTAGTAGATGATGTCTGTACAACAAAGCATTCATCTCAGAGCATTGCTTCCCATCCTAATGTATGTGTAACCCCCCCCCACCCTCTATAAAGAGTCAAAGGGTATATGTGAGTGGTCACAAGGTGGTTAGCATAACAAAGTAATTCTGGTTTAATGGCAGACTTTCTTCTAATATCTCTTTTGAGGACTTTAACTCAAACACTTACAAGTGCATTTACTCTCTCCTTTTCTTAAGATAACATTTGAGGTACTTTATTTGAGTACTTCTATTTTCTATGACTTTTTTTCCCACTGCATCTCAGAGTGAACCATCTATCTGAAAACCAAATTATTAATGTAAAAATAACCTAGTACAGTATGGTGTTTTTCAAATTGAACTATCTATCAGCATAAAAAGTAGCCAAAATAAGCTCCACCATTGATGAAGACATTAATGCATCACAATTTATATTCCAGTAATTACATTTACATTATTCAGAAAGGGGGCCATTCTGCATTCAAATTAGTACTTTTATTTTTGATGGTAAACTTTAAGTATATTTCCATGCCGACACTGTTGTACTTCACCTTATAGTATGAATATCAATGCAGGACTTTTTCTTGTAACAGTATTTATTACAGTGTGGTGTTGGTATTTTAACCCAAGTAAATTATCTAAATATTTCATCCACCTCCGAAAGACACGGGGAAAAGGCAACTTCTCACAACTCAGAAGCTTAGGAATGTTGGTTATTTTTGCCTGAGATTAAAAAAGAAGAAATAGATGGTCAGTAGCTAGTAATCAGAATAGATGCTCATTTAATTATTTGTCCTACCAACAGTCGATAAGCTAATACACATTTGGTTTCATTAATACTTTTGTCTTTTAAATAACTGCATTATTTTACCTCTTCAACCTCTTAAAAGTATTCAAATCAGTTTTATGAAGAGTAATCATTTAAACAGGTCTTGTATAAGGTTTCTCTAAACTACAAACTTTTTAAAGGGGTCACAAACATACATAATGTGCAGATATAAATAGCAAGATTGGCATTAACTGGTCAGTGGTACATTGGTAATTCAAATGCATCCACTGCATCCACATGTTGGAGTGCATGTCTGGCATGTGAGATACATCCCAAACATTTGGTGTGCCGATGCCAGATGTTTTGCTGCAGATGCTCTCAGTTGTCCTTCATCTGAAACTCTGAATAATTGTTTTCAATATATTGTATTTTTCCAGGTCACAGCTTCAGCGGCAAACACCAGCCTGGTGTGCGCTCAGACTCCTGAAGACCAGTCCTGCCACGCATTCAGAAACCATCGCCTCCCCTCCACTAGACGGAGCGCCCAAACAGTACCCTCCCAAAATCCAACAGCTGGTCAACGACATAGCCACTCTCACTTTATTAGAGGTGTCGGACCTTAATGAGCTCCTCAAGGTTAGTGGAATAAGTCACTGAAAACAACCCATCTTACCCCCTGTCAGATATTGTTTATGATATATCTGTGGTGACATGTTGGGTAATGACCTGTTTGTGTTGGTTGCAGAAAACTCTGAACATTCAGGATGTTGGGATGATGCCGATGGGGGCGATGCATGCCTCAGCTATATCTGCGCCAGTAAGTACAGAGAGTAGAGGAAATTGAAACACCTAACAGTATAACTCCGTCTGCTACAACACAATCATAAACTACTACTTTGAATGAACACTTCAGACTTGTTATGATAAAACATGTAGGTCCTTTGTCAGATTTGTTGTCATGTAAGAGAACTAATACATTTGCTATTATTTTTTCTTTGTGTGAAACTAGGCCGCAGAAGAGGAGGACGCACCAGTCAAGAAAGAGCAGACTCACTTCATAGTAAAACTGATAGAATTAAAGGCAGCTGACAAAGTGAAACTTATAAAGGAAGTGAAGAACTGCATCCAAGGCTTGAATCTTGTGCAGGTAAGTCCTCAGTCCAGTCTGATCATAGTCTTTAAAGGTTGGTGCCCTGTGGAGCTTTGGTCCACTGGTAAGGTAACGCTACCCAGCACTGACGTGCGGTGACGTTCATGGTGAGGCACTGACTCTTTCAGAGTCAGATTTACAAATATTATATATTTTGACCTTAATCGAAATATTCTGTTATTTTCAAAAGCTTTTTTTGTCTGATGTTTCGATTAATTTTAAAAAGACCGATCAACAAAAGGATACCCCAAATCTAAATATTGGATTGTTCTTTCTTAGTAAGATCCCATTTTCATTACAATTGTGGTCTTTTTTTTTTTTTCACTTAAATTTTTATTGACATTTTTATAAACATACAAAACCACATATAGTTCAGTATACACTTGAATTAGAAACCCATTGAAGAAGAAAAAAGAAAATACAAATAATAATAAAAACAAGCTAACAGTGACATGGAAGCTTTCTATCCTATTTTAATTCAACATCATGGTCTGATTCCAACTCTCAATTTGTGGTGTCGTTCATTTTTCTTTTATATTCAACCCATTTTTCCCATTTGGACTCAAATTTCCCTTCCTGGACCCTCAATATGTGTGTGAATCTCTCCATATCAAATATTTCCTGTACTACTCCCAGCCATTGCTCCTTTGTAGGTGGATCTGCTCTGTACCATGCTCTGGTAATTGTTTTCTTGCTTGCAGCCAGCAGCACCTTAATCAGGTATCTGTCCCCACCCTCTGGGTTTTCCTGCACCAGATTCCCCAAGTATAACATCAGGCCGGTCTTAGGAACCTCATAACCTAATATCCCCTTCAATACTCCCCATACTTCCTCCCAGTATCCCTTCATCTTTTGGCATTTAAAAAAATGTGTGTGTGGTCTGCCCCCACCTCGCCGCATTGCCTCCAACATCCGTTCTGTTCCGGGGCATACCTCCCTTTCATCTTTGGGGTTATGAAGTATGTGATTATGTTTTTCCACCCAAATTCCCTCCATACCCTTGACCCAGTAGTTGAATGCTGCACTCTACATACATTATACCATTCTTCCTCTGTCATATCAATCCCNTTAGTAAGATCCCATTTTCTTTACAATTGTGGTCTTACCTTGACTTGAAGATGAAGTCCATGCTATCCTTCTGGACAACAAAAGTCCTCCTTATCTTCCTCTAGTTTCAAAAGTCTAGCTTGTTGTTTGCGTCTACCTTCTCTACGTAGAATAACAGTAGCAACAAGAAGCCCCCTTCAGTGTGGCAGAGGTTATGGCTGCCTCCCCTGGTGCTTTTTTCATCGCCGTTGTATGATGAGACGCATCTGAGGTGAGGCAGATCTAATCTGTGCCTCACCTTACCCCACAGAAACTGGCTGGAGCGCTGGCACAAAATAAGTGC